CACTGGAGAATAAGGGACAGATAAGATGTCAATATGTGAGATTAGGTAATTATGTGAAGTTACTATAGAAGGCTGTAACATACTGAGAAGAGACGATAGACCTAGTTGATATACCAAAAGAAAAGCAATTAGATACAAGAATTAAAAGTAGATTTCTGAAATATATTCAGTTTACAGAGAACCTCAGACATAAAGTTCAAGAATTATGGATCTAAATCTCATACCTCTGAATTAACAGTTAATTTGATTCCCAGCTTGTTCATGGGTCAAAGAGTCACAACACTTCTTCCTTTAGGACATAAATGTCAGAGCTTAAACCCTTTTCATCAGTATTTCAGGAAGAACAAATTAACAGCAATGTATTGTCATACAGTGAAATCAACTGATAAATACCCCGTTGCTTTCTGACTCATGCTAGTCTCTCTAGAGAGAGAGAAATGAGTGTCACCTTAAAAATAACAGGGAGAAGAGATGTACCCCCCCAAAAAACATAGCATTCGTGGGACACCTGCGTGCAATGTGCCCAGTGCCTGTGCTCCATCTATACTGCCTCTTTAAACTGTTAGCCATGTGAAGATCTTCTAGAGGTCACAAGGCAGTAAATATAAGAACAGAAGCTAGTTTGCAGCTTTAGTTCATCCATTTGTTTATGATGCCGTGTGCAAGTGAGTATAATAAGAAAGTACTTCTCAGATCTCACATCTAGCAAGTTGAACACTCAGTGGTATCCCTGAAACCCAAGTAATGACAGCCCTGGGTTTAACGCTGGAAACGTTTCTAACATATCCTCAGTTTGCGGCAGCAAGGTGCCCTGCGGTGAGTGCCCATGCACCTCGGTTCAAATCCCTCCTGAGCCCAGGGGAAGACTCACACCTCTGAACTACAGATTCCTCACCAGTAATGTGAATTAACTGGAGCACAGTCCTAGACTGTAGTGAGGATAACATGAGAATGTATGAAGAGCGTTCGGCTTCTACAGAGTGTTCTCTTACTGCTGGATCCCTCACCATTCTTCCACCTTTAGCTTAAAAAGTGAATTTTACCATGGTTGCTGCTGTTGCTTTTTCCTGGTCATCTGTTATGAGAGGTTGGAAATCACCTCTTCTACTAGTTATATTCTTCTCCTCCATAAGGGTAAGATTTAAGCTCCTTCATAAAGAAGCCTCGTTTTTGGGGTTTCTGTTTTGTTTTACTGTCATTCCTAGTTACAGTGTTTTTAGTAAGGAAACATTTTCATACCCTGAAAAATCTGTATTGTGATAGACATGGTGTTTACTGCATCCATTATTAGTGAGAATAAAGGACAAATGAAGAGCTTCTTCCAAAAGTGGATTTCATAGTCTCTCTCCAGAAGGGTCAGAAGGACTGTGTAGGTCTGGGGCAGGGGCCAAGAAGCTGTAGTTCTAGCGGGCGCCCCATGGATGCTGAGTGCAGGTATTTCTCTCCACACCGTCAGACATGCTGATGTAATAAACTGAAAAATATTGACCGGCTGGAATATCACTTCCTAAAAGCTATAGCCTCTGTTTTTTTAAAAACAAAAACAAAAACAAAAACAAAAAAAAAACAACCCACACAAACATAAAATATCAGCACTAAGTCTAAAAGATACAAGTATTCGGAATAATCCTAAAAACCCACCATGTCATATATTTTAAGTCAAAAAATACTACTTTCGCATGCATGTGTACCTTAATAGAGTAAAACACTAATAGCCACTACATAAACATTTATAAATAGAACAATTTCCCTTTTACTTCCACATTTCCTAAGTGCTAAACTTGCATTTTGTCCCTCCACCTCTCTAGCCATTCAGGTACAGCTGAGGTATCAGAAGAAGGCTCAGGTTGGAAAAGCAGTGGGAATCAACTCCTTGCTAAAGCACACTGGGGAAAAAACCAAGGTGTAAGAAATCTTCCAGAGGAGAGAACTCTGGGCATAGTTCCCAGGAATGTTGCCAATGAACCCATGGAAATGTTTTCCTTCTCTCCTTAGTCCCTTCCTGGATGGGTAAGAAAAATGCAGAAAGACACTAAGTCAAAACAGGAGACAGATAAGGAAAAATGCTGCCCAACTATAACCTAATCTTTGAGATCAAAGATAATGACCTATATAAAAAATAGAGAAGTTTTTCATATATGTTCTATGTTATTTTAGGTAAAAGTCAAGAGACACAGAAGATGCTCAAGCTCAGAAAACAAAGTTTCTTAAACTCCCAGGTCCTAGAAACAGGATACATGCATGGCACACCTAACAGGGCCATATGGGAAAGACCCAGCAGCCACAGGGCTACTTGTTAAGAGTAATGATGGGACAGCCTAGCTGGTGGTTCCTGTTGGAGTTTCCAAGGGAAAGGCAAAGCACGGCAGGGTCAACAGTTGATCCGCTAGTTTGAATAATTTCAGGGGGCTCTAAACTATAAGAGTGGCCCTCCTTGCCTGGTACCTGAACCTCAGATAACTAAAGCAAAGGAATATTGCCTCTTGGGGATTAAGGGTTCCGGTGGAGGAAGCCTGGCTCTGAGTTGGTTAATTTGCCTATCAATGGCACGCTCCAGGCTGTGCCCTTTGCTATCTCTAAGAATTAGCTGGCTCGAGAAGGGACAATCTCTCCCCAGCCAGAAGGGGTTTTAAGGTGTCCTAACACCACATATACAGAAAATTTAAAATATAAGCAATACAACAGAACTAGCTACTCACCTCCTGCTTCCTAAGAGGAAATTTAGCAGCCTCTTTCTGAACCCGGACTAAAACCCCCTCCCTGTCATCCCCAGGGAACCAGAGACAGCAGCTTCGGAGAAATCCACTTCCCAAACCCACTCAGTATGTTCTATGTGACACATTTGCCTTCAGCTTATAATTGGGACATACAAAGCTTTTAGGTTATAATCAAGGGGAAAGATGGTAGGAAGTACTCGCGAGGTGGAAATGAGACGGAGGCACCATGTTGAGTTTTAATTGCCTAAAAAGCAACTCTCTAAAACTTCTGGGAAAACTTCTGAGGAAGAAAACAGGAAACAATTCAGTTTCAGAAATCATTTCTGAGCTGGTTTTCAAATAAGGAACAGCTGCAACATTAGGCACACCTTCTTCCAAATAAACAAAGAGATGATAGTCTCTAGAAACAGTTGACAAGCATCAAACAACTAACTCTGCTTTTAAACATATGTGTCTTCTCCACCTCTTTTATGGATGCCAACAATGTGAATTCCTTTAGATTCCATACTGAGAACAGAGACGCCTACAGGTGCTTAGAGTATCCTGAGTTAGGATTTGTTTAAAATCAAGAATAACCAATTTCAGTGTGAAGGAGACACTGTGCAATTCCCCTATGCTACCGTAGTTCAGCCTATGTCCTCGTGCACCCTTCCCCTATTACCCTCCCACATCCCCAAACACAGTGAAGACCTGGAGTACTTTCTTTTCTTTATAAATTAGTTTACTTCTCATCATTCAGAGTCTAACCTTATAAAATAATCAAGTCTGGTGAACGTCGGGACAAGCTAATTAACAAATAACAGCTAACACTTGCTGAGCGTTTATTATTTGCCTCCCTGCCAAGCATTTTATGTGGATTATCTCCTTAAATCCTTACAATTCTAGGAACTAGGTACTATTACTAGCTTCATTTTCCAGATAAGGAAATCAAGGCCCTGAGAGAGTAAGTAGTAATAGCAAAAAGTCACATGGCTATGAAGCAGCAAAGTCCAAATTTAGGGCCCGGCTACCTAACTTGAGAGTCCAAGGAATAATGATTAAATGCTGAAGAGATGAGGTAGTTTCCATGAACTTCTGATTAAAGCAAAAATGCATGCTCCCTTCACAGGAGCTCGAGCAGCCTCCAGCAGCCACACTGCAGGGAGACAACAGGGCATTAGAAGGCATCCCAAACCTGCCAACACCCCAGAAGGCACTCAGTCTCTCCATCTTCTAGAATCCGGAAAAAGTGGCCCTAAGTAAATGTCCCAGAAAGGACAGAAGTACTGACTTCACAAAACTGGGTGGGGGGGGGTATGTTTAAATAAAGGGGAGAAATGGCATTATCAGAGAATCATGCTGAGATTTAAGGATCTTTAAGGCTGGCACTGTTGATCTTGAACAGACAGCACAAAAAAGCTTAACACGTGGCTTTCACTCAAGGAATTAACCTGTTGCCAAGTAAAGTGTTTCAAAGAATTGGAACGTTGTCAAACTAGCTTAACACCATGAAATGGTACAACTTAATGAGACTCCATAAATATTGAGGACTACAACACAGAGCTCCCTCTGCAAAAAGTGATTTTACAAGTGGTTCGCTGTCTTTCCTGGGCATATACACACAGTGGTAGGTGAAATGCTACAACTAAAAGCTATCTTTTTTTAACTGAGTACAACTTGTTCCATCGTTCATTTTACCTGATTCCTTTTGGACCATTTTTTAAATTTAAAAAAATAAGTATTTTTAAAGTAAAAAAATCTCAAATAGCTCATATAATCATGCTAAACAGTTTTCTTTAAACATCTACTCCACCTCCTAAGATAACAAACATTACTTCTCAGGAAAGCCCTAATGTTAAAGCAAACCAAACCAGAGGCTCAGTACTGAACCTACAAGACAGGAGAAGCTATGCTGATCCTTGCAGACTAGCAACTGGCCTGAGGTCTATTCTAAATTGAGTATTTCGAAAAGGAGGGGTAGTGGGGGATCAGAGGACAGAAAAGCTCTGACTGAATGGAAAAGGTAAAAAATCCAAATAATCCAAATAAAAATTCCAGTAATATCTGCTCCTGAGCAGGGGCACCTGGTGGCTCAGTGGGTTGAGCCTCTGCCTTCGGCTCAGGTCATGATCTCAGGGTCCTGGGATCGAGCCCTGCATCAGGCTCTCTGCTCGGCAGGGAGCCTGCTTCCCCCTCTCTCTCTGCCTGCCTCTCTACTTGTGATTTCTCTCTCTGTCAAATAAATAAATAAAATCTTAAAAAAAAAAAAAATCTGCTCCTGAGCAAAGTGTGACTGCTACTCACCTGTCTACTGCTTCTACGTCAAAGCAAAACCTCTTCTCGATGGAGTCTGTTTTCCGCCGGGTGCAGGATTTCAGGGTGACAGATTCATCTTCTCCCTGTTGGGAGCATAGAGACTATCAAAATGAGGCCTGACCACAGGCTATGCTATGTGCCTCTCCAGCATACCACAAACACACCACATCAACCAGAGTGACCACCCATCTTCTCAAGCCTGAGTGTTCATGACACACAGGAAGGTGGAATGTTGACCAAAAACTTTCCCTCACTCACGAGCCTCACACAGCTAAAACCTGTAAACCAAGTTTTACTTTGAGCCAAATATCTCTTGTTTTAATTTGGTTCTAGAATATCATAAGGGTACAGCATCAACCCATGCTACATAAACTCCAGTTGGCAATGTTTGCAACAGGTTTAATTTGCGGGTTTTTAAAATTTTATTTATTTATTTGAGAGAGAACATGAGTGCAAAAGCAGAGGGATGGGCAGAGGGGGAGCCAAAGGGGAAGGGAAAGGGACAAGCAGTTTCCTCACTGAGCACAGTGCCTGATGGGGGACTCGATCTCATGACCCTAAGACCATGACCTGAGCCAAAACCAAGAGTTGGACACAACTGACTGAGCCACCCAGGCACCCCTAATTTGCAGGGCTGATAAGGGTTAAACCAGATGACCTGCAGATCTCCTGACTCTGAGTTTCTATGTTTCACTGCCTTCACTTTTTCAGGAAGGCCTTCCTGGACCAGGTCAAATATCCCAAAACATGTTCACATAGCACCATGAACTTCATCTTTCACATAGCACTAATTGTAGCTAGAATCGTCCATTGATGAGGGCGATGATTCCAATCATGTCTCCCTCCTCCTTAGACTGAAGCTCCCTGAGGGCCGGGACTGTGTCTGTTCTTGCTGATTCCTATGTTCCCAGAGCCCATATAGGCCCTGGAACAGAATAGATGCTCAATAAATAAGTTCTTAACAGCTTCACAGGTGTATCTAATGTATAATAAATTGTACATGTCAATTTTTGAGTTTTAACTTCTGTATCTCTCCGGAAAATCAAGACCACAATCAAGCTAATGAACATTTCCATCATCCCCAGAAGTTTCCTTATCTGTTGAATTCCATCTCTCCACCCAGTCTACCCTCAGGCAAATAGAGAATCTGCTTTCTTGTCATACAGATTAGTTAGCATATTCTATCATTTCATATAAATGGAATCACACAGTATGTGCCCTTTTATTTCTGACTTTTTTGACTTGGCACAATTCTTTTGCAATTCACATATGTTGTGCAAATCAAGAGTTTGTTTCTTTTCACTGCTGAGTAGTATCCCTTCGTACAAAGGGAATCCAACACTTTCATCATATAGTGCTCTTTTATTGCCTAAAAACATAAGGGTTTCTGTCCCTGATTTCTTCTCTTTTTCCCCAAATAAGAATGTAGGGTTCCTGTTTCTCTTGCCTTTGCCAATCTTTTTCTGTAAACAAGGGGGAAAACTAGTAAACTTGCCTAATTTGTTGAAATAGGAAATGTGACTTCCTATGGTAAAACTTAACCACCCCCTAGTCAAAATACCACACGAAACACAGAAGACCTAGCAAGAGATGGTTTATATTCACCAGCTTTACAACTACTGTGTTTTTTAGGAGGTGGAGAAGAGCAGGTGGAAAGGTCCTGTGGTCAGGGTCCATGGAGCCTGGGAGGAATCGAAAGCCAGCTAGTATGGTTCAATCCCAGAGTGAAAGGCAAACTGTTATGAAAGAGTCTGAGGGAATCAAGAGCCAAATCATACACATTATGATCCATCAACCTGAGAGCATGGGGAAAATAGTGAAGGGTTTTAAGCAAGGGAAGGGACAAGGTCAGCTTTGGTCTGCTCCAGACCTCACACAGAGAGAGCTGCCTCATCTCAGAAACTAGGATACAGGAGAATTCTCTTTTGCCACACACAGTCTGATCTCCAAGATGGTGGAACAAATCTGCTCACATACCCTTGCCTGAAGCTAAGAGAAAAGCAGGTACTTTTACAGGAAAATAATCCAAATGAAATGGACAGCCAGGTGAAGGAAAGCGAAGTGAAAAAGTATGTTAGGGGAAAAAAAAAATCCACCCTATTACCTATGTTAAGTCTACCTCCACCTACTAGCTTTGTACAAACACATATATCATATGTAAAGATGTCAAATGATTCTCCTGTACAAACCAAGATGACATCACCTCCAGACAGTCAGTCTTCCTATTCCCTCCACCCTAAAGCTGAGGAAATAGAGTGATGTCAAGGACAGCCATTATTTTATATATTTTTCTGTTATTATTGTTACTATTATTAGGAGCAGCCACCTCCAATTCAGGAGATGCACACTCCAGAATCAGGGTCTGAGTACTGGCTTTGTAACTCACCAGTTGTACGGCTTTAATAAATCACTTTTTCTCTCTAGAGACCTCGATTTCCTCCTCTATGAAGGAGAAAACTGGATTAACAGGATAATATAGGACAATACATGGACTTGGAAAAATAGAAAATAAATTTAAGGAATTATTAGGAAAATTAATTATTGTACTATTAAACTCCCAATTTAGAACTCATTGTGTGTCAAGCTCTCTTCTAAGAGTATAAATACTAATTCATACAAACTTCTTAACAACCCAGTGAGGTGTTTACTATTAACTCACAGAAAATGTGGGAGTTCCACACATCCACCATAATTGGTCTCTGTCATTTACTTTGCAGTGGGATAAGACCAAACAGAAAAAAGTTCTTCTTTGAAGGTTTAGAAAAGCACAGGGTCGAAAGTCCCAAAATAAAGAGTGTGAGAGAATAATTTAGGGATGCTCAATTCTAGAAAGACAGATTGGAAAAGGACTAAGGCTCAACCCAGGGGAGCAAGTCTAACTCTATTTCCATTGTATAAAAACTAGGGAATACCCAGTGATTAATGTTTAATATCTCTTCCGACTCCTTAATTTCTTTATTTCTATATTTGAACAATGTTGTTTTCCTGACATTACTCCACTCTTAAAATATTAAAAGAGCTTTGGTATATTCTTCTGTAATACATGGAAGGAAAAGAGATGCTGATAAATTCCTGTACTGTGGCCTAAGTAAAAGAAAGCGAGGAAGAAAAATTGGAAGTGGTACAGACTAAGGGGGGAGTCTGACAGAGTAGCCAACAGTAATGACAGATGCATCTAACATTACTGAGTTGGGCAGTCTAATTTCAAAGCTGGTGCTCTTAGCCTCTGCAATGCCTGCCCCTCTGTAATGCCCTCACAAACCCAACATACCACACCACAGTGTGCCACAGAGAGAACCAGAGATGGAATGCTTACTGGGGACTAATTCATCAACATATTAGACACAGCTTAAAAATTATTTAAACATAGAATCAAGGAAATTATGTAGAATGGAATCCAGAGATACAGACAGATGAAAAATATAAATGCTTTTGTTAAAAATAGTTAGCTATCTCCCAAAGGAGTTATGTCCAGAAGGAGACATGGAGAGGAGGCAAGATTCAAAATTATAAATGATAAGAATCTCCCAAAGTTACTAAAAGACACTAGTCTCCAAATACAGTAAGGCCCACATTCCCAAGAACAAAAGAATGAAAAAAAAAAAAAAAATGGGACCATCATTATGAAATGTAGAAACCAAAAGGAAAAAAAATGAAGACATTAAGAGCAGCCAGAGAGAAAAGACACATTACCACAACAGGAAATGCACTCAGGCTACAGCTAGGGAGCCCAGAGGAAAAGAGAAAGGCACAGTGACAGCAAGGCCTATGGTCAGAGCCGGCTGCAAGAGTATTTCTACCCTAACATTCTTCATGCCATGTGGCTGTAATATTCTTCCCATTAAGGGGCTGGTCTGCATGCTCTCCCCATGAAACTGGATGGGCTTGGGTGGGCTTCAACCAACATAGCAAAAGGAAGGCTGTTTGACTTCTAAGGCTACATGCAGTCTCCGCTTTCATTGCTGGAATATTCACTCTTGACATCTTTAGCTCCCCTGAGGCCATCATGCTATGAGGAAACCCAAACAATCTTCCACTGAGAAACGAGATGGACAGGCCCTGAGACAATACAGAGCAGGGAGGAAAGAGGGAAGGGGAGGAACAAAATCAGGAGAAAAGAAGAGAGCCATGACTGACCAGCCTCTAGTGACTTCAAACCCTCACTGTTCCAGCTCCTACCACCATCTGATTGGAAGCCCCTGAGAAACCCTGAGCCCAAAGCACCCATCCAAATGCTTGCCCAATTCCTGACCCACAGTAACTGTGAGAAATACTAAAATGACTGGTGTTGTTTCAAAAATTGCTAAGTTTGGGCACCTGGGTTGCTCAGTCAGTTAAGCCTCTGACTTTAGCTCAGGTCATGATCTCCAAGTCCTGGGATGGAGCCCTGAGTCAGGCTCCTTGCTCAGTGGGGAGTCCGCTTGTCCCTCTCCCTCTGCCTTTCTTACTGCATCTCCCCCGCCTCTTCCCCTCTCCCCCGGCTCATGCTTTCTCTCTCAAATACATAAATAAATAAAATCTTTGGGAAAAAAGAGTTAAGTTTTTCGGTGATCTGTTATACAGCAACAGATAATCGGGACACCTAAACAATAGCTGGCAGCCCTCTTTGTATCAAGTAAGAGTGACATCCATAAATTTCACAGGACAAAGCCATCCAGGGATCTCTAGCATCTAAACACATTTGACATACTTAGTAGTGTATATTTATGAAATACCAGAATCCATCTTAGTTGTAGTTCTTAAAGGAACTTTAAGCTAAGAATATTCGCTTTGCTATAATTACTGTCTAATTACTGCTATCATTACTGTCTACTATTCCTCCTGGAATTATTGTATAAAAGTAGGAAATTACAGCAAAGCAATCTTGAGAAAGAAGAACAAAGCTGGAGGTACCACAATCCCAGATTTCCAGATATACTACAAAGCTACAGTGATGGGGCGCCTGGGGGCTCAGTGGGTTAAAGCCTCTGCCTTCAGCTCAGGTCATGATCCTGGGGTCCTGGGATCGATCCCCGCATTGGGCTCTCTGCTCGGCAGGGAGCCTGCTTCCTCCTCTCTCTCTCTCTCTGCCTGCCTCTCTGCCTGCTTGTGATCTCTGTCTGTCAAATAAATAAATAAATTAAATAAATAAATAAATAAATAAATAAATAAATAAATAAATAAAGCAAGCTACAGTGATCAAAACTGTATGGTTCTGGCACAAAAAGAGATATATACCTCCATGGAACAGGATAGAGAATCCACAGATAAACCCATATCTATATGATCTATTAATCTATAACAAAGGAGGCAAGAATATACAATGAAGAAAACACAGTCTCTTTAACAAATGGTGCTGGGAAAACTGGTCAGCCACATGCAAAAGAATGAAACAGGGATATAGAAAGGAATATTACTCAGCCATGAAAAACAATGATGTATTCCCACTTGCAACAACATAGATGGACCTAGAGGGTATAATGCTAAGTGAAATAGGTCAGACAGAGTTAGACAAATACCATATGATTTCATTTAAATGTGCAGTTTAAGAAACAAATGAACCAACAAAGAAAAAAATAACAGATGAACCAAAAAACTGACTCTTAAAAATAGAGAACAAACTGGTGGTTGCCAGAGGGAAGGTGAGGGGCTGAGTGGAATAGATGAAGGAGTTTAAGAGCACACTTACTGTGATGAACACTGAGTAATGTATATAACTGTTGAATCATTATACTGTATACCTAAAACCAAATGTAATACTGATGCTAATGATACTTCAGTTAAAAAAAAAACTTAAAAAACAAGAAAAGAAAATGACAATGATACATTGAAGGTGTTGCTATACATATGCATTATAACCTTCCTATTTAGCCAAGCAAATCAAGCATGAAATTTTAAACATGAACTCACCCCCTTTCCTCCTGACTTTTGGTCAAATGGTACCATGGTGATTTGTTTGGAATCCCGTTGATATGTACAGTAGTGCTTCACCCAAGAAGTTCCAAAGTGACCTGCAAGGTAGTATTTCCCATGAAACATCTCTATGTTTCGAAAGCATACTGGAAACACACACAACCCATAACCCACAATGCTCACCTACCCTTAAACCATTTCTCGGGGCAATATAGTCTCCACCAGCTAGACTGGAATAGGCAGAAATCTGATCCCAGAGGCTGGAAATGGAATTGATCCCAAGCTTTCCCCAGGGACCAAGGAAAACTGTTTCCCACTAAATGCAGCATCCAATGGGTCTTAAAATACAAGGGAAGTAGAGGTTCCCTGGGGAAATTAATTCACTTTCCCATCATCAATCTTCACTTGAAGTTTCCTTTCTCCCCTGACAGGAGTAAGATGACTGAAGAAAGAACACAGAAAAGCTCCTCGAAGTGCCTGTCACTGTTCCCATCTGGCATGATGACTTCATGCTTCCCACACAGCCACTCTGCAACTCTCTGCAAAGACATAGAGGGGTTCTGACCTACTGCCAAACCCCTAATCTGTACTTTAGCAGAAGTCAAGATGATCTTAAAAGCAGACAGGCAAACTCTGACACAGAGATGTAAATGGAAGTAACTATAAATACCCAAATGTAATCTAAGGAGTCTGTCCCTCAGTAATATCCCTCAGGGAAGAGGAAGAATGCCCTTCAGTCAAATCCTAACAGTCTCTGATTTTACCTGGTGGTTGGCAAATTACCTTATTTTGCATAACAAAATATTATTAGGGAAAGAAGGGATAATCAGCATTATTACCCTCCAAGGCCCTCAATCATTGCCTTAGATGCTCACAGAGATCACAACGCAGAAATGTTTTCTGGGTGGTTTTTTTTTTTTAAGTAGTAATATGAGATTTAATAAAGATTTTGTAGTTCTTTTTCAGGGTTTCAGTGCCCATAGCAAGTGTTGAATAGCGCTTAGGAAACTAAAAAAGTAAAAAAGCAACACACTAAGTATCTACATTGAAGCATCAAAGACAAAAATACCAACCTTCTAATTTATTTTTGTGGCTCAGAGAAAAAAAATCCAAGGACAGCACAACACAAAGATTCCTCAAGTTCTGTATCTTAAACCATTTGATTAGCCAAAGAAATAAGGATAATACTGGATTTGGATTTAGCCTACTGAATAGAACAGAAATACTTAATTCCATCCTGACAACAAAAAGATGGATGGATGGATGGATAGATAGGAAAGAAGAAGAGAACGGGGAGAGGGAGGGCAGTCACCTCCTTGCAGTACACTAAATGGCAACTAATAAACATGGAGGAGGGACACAGCTGAGAAATTGCCATTTTGCAACCATCACAGTAGCTATCCGTTTAGGCAAGAACTGCCAGTGGATGCTAACTCTAGGTGGGGACAAAGCTTGATGAGAAAGACATAGTCTTAAAGGGTCTCCCCATAGACTGTTAATAAGCTACAAGGGAAGAATCTTGACTGTACAGTGGATAAACTAAATGATACTTTGACTGAGTGACCAAAATTAATATCACCAGTGAGGGGCAGATGGCCATTCTGTGCCACTAGATGTGGTACCCAGAGAAGAACACAAATATTACTTATGTAGGATTTGACAAGGGATCCCTAAACTGAATCTAATCATTGGGAAACATGAGACAAACCCACACTAAAGAAAATTCTAGAAAAGAACTGGCTTATACTCTTCAAAAATGTTGATGTCATGAAGGACAAAGAAAAGCTGAAGAATTTTTACAGAGAAGATCATGACAAGTAAATGCAGTACGAAATCCTATCTAGACAGACGGAAAAGAAAATGCTTTATGAGGGCATTACTGGGACAACTGACAAAACTGGAATATGAACTGTCATTTACATTAAGTACTTTATTAATGTTAAATTTGCTAGATACAGTAACTATACTGTGGCTACATAAAAAGAATATTCTTATTTTTGGAAAATACACACTAAAGAAAAGGAGCATGGAGTATGGAATCTGTTCCAAAAGGATTCAGAAAAAATGGCAATGTATGTATGTCTCTGTGACTGTTATGTGAGTACATACATACCCGGAAAAAGAAAAAACTCTTTAATTATGGGAAAATTGTAAAAATTCATGCATCTAGATAAAGGGCATATGGCTGTTCATTATACTCTTCTTGCAAGTTTTTATTCAGGGTTCAAATTATTTCTAAGCAATAAGTTACCAAAATTTTCAAATAAAAAGAGCTATATCCCATTGATATGCTCTAGACCCACATGTTTGAGAGTTAAAATCTTGTTCTAATGGAAATCAAGACATTCATGTTTTAAAAGGCACATGAAGTGTTTGAATAAAATTGGATTATTAATGTGAGTGCAGATTTTATATATGTAAGTGAATAATATTAACAAATTAAGCATTATAAGTGGACTCTGAACTATATTCAAGTTAACCTTAAACTTTTTGGGCTGGATCTTCTCATTAGGCAAAAAAGTTAACATCTTACATTGAGGCTTACAGAAAACCCAATACTACAGTACCTTCCACTTCTTACAAACCTCAACAAGCTCATCCCTGTAAGAATAAAGGGCATAAAACCCCTCAAGATATCCAATGCATCCAACCTCAAACCCCACTACTGCCCCCATTGTCACGAGGCAACAGTTTTAGGGCCAAGCAAACTTTTGAGCAATCACTAGCTAGAATAATCACTGAAATCAAGTGTTTTGTTCCATTAGTAAGCTTCTAGGAATGAAGACATTTGCCTTGCCCTGAATCAACAAAAGGACAATAAAGAGTACAAAACCCACAAAAATCTGGGAGGAGTAACACGTCCAACTAAAAAAGGAGGAATGGAAGATTAGAAGAACTGTCCATTAAAGAAAAAAAATTGACTTTCTTCTATCACTAGCACTCTATGAGCTAAGTCTGGAAGTGCTACCCTCATAGCGCGGCCCCATCAAAAAGCCTTTCCCCAGGCCTTGCACAGTAGTCTGTGAGTCATCACAGAGAAGTCTGGGTGAGCAGCACCTGGTGTTTCTTTCCTTGACATCTCATGGGCAGGACAATGGGTTTCTCTTCCTACCACTCAGAGTGAGTTTGTGTTTCTACTCATAAAATTTAAGTGTTGAAATGACAGCAACTGAATAAAGTGGGGAGAGGGCCTAAGTCATGACTGTTTGGTCCCTGCTGAAACAAGTCTTGAATGGAACAAATTCACTCCATAGTAAGTCCACCCAAGGATATGACTGCTAACAGACAATAAGGTCAAGCATGCAAGGCCCTTCCAGAGCCTCTATGCCAAGAGTGTGATAGATAAAGCCATGCTAAAGGTGCAGACATGTCAAGTGTGACACTACAGAGAAAAAACACCACCATAGAGCCTCAGTGAATTCCAGGTTCCCGAGGGAATTTCCAGTTACAAAGAAAATAGAACCCATCATGAGGAGGTAGACAAGACCTTTGGATACCTTTCCCTTAAAAAACTCAACCATCGACTACTCTCATTCACCCAAATCTATATTTATAGAAGCTGTGCTCTAGGTTGGGCACTACTAACTATACCCTCTATCTCCTGGGTAAAAGGCATGCGTGTGCCCCAAACTATTGTTTGCCACCAACACTCACGTTTCTCCTGAACGTACAGGTACCCTTCCATGGTGTAGGGACTGATGGTCTTGTGCTCAAGGGGGTTCTCCTTCATCTTTTTCATCAGTGATTCCACTTCTGACCTGGTGCCTTCAAAGCGATTTCTTGTCTAGGATGAAAGGCATTTTATTTAAATCGAAGAAAGGAAACCTTGTTCCCATCTCTAACAATTCACAACATCAACCTATGGAAACCTAAAACCAGGTAAGGAACATTCAACCACCTAGGAATTGGGCAAATATTCACTTTCAAGACGTACTTTTTGACCTTAAAGTCCTATACCAGAATGACTCTCAAACTGTTAAGACCATCAAAGTCACCTGGAGAATGTGGAGAAAATACAATGTCCAGGCCTCGCCCCCCTAAAGATTAATTTATTACCTCTGGACCTAGAAATGTGTATTTTAAAGACCCTGATTCAGATAGTTCATAGAATGGTCCCCAAGGCCCTGCTTCACTATGTGGCTGGCTTTCAAAACAGAGGGACTTATTTCTCCAACTGCAGGAATGCCACTTGCTGATGGTTCATAGGTGGTTCCTTCCTCAAAAAGGGAGCTTCCTCACTCAAGGTAACTCCTTTCCTCCAGTGCAACCTGCACACCATGACTAATCAAGGCTAGGGGCAAAAGGGGAAGGAGCCCAAAGTCTAGTACCCTTGCTTCTACTGAGGCCACTGTGAAGGTCTGTATCAGCTCCAGGACACCCCAGGGCATTGACTGAGGCCTCACAGCTAAAATTCTCCTGCAGGGGTCTACTGCCCTCTCTCACACAGGTGATTTTGCTGACGTTCCTCCCCTGTAAACCTGCTACATGTAAACCTCCACTTCTGAGTCTACCTTCTGAGGAAGCTGGCCAAAGGGAAGCCATGCTTTGAGAAACCTTGTCCTCGGCAACTTCCTGTTTTCCAAAACAACACAGAGAACCATGGCAGGGCAAGCTTCAGGCTTCTAAACCCATGCAATACAACTCACAAGGAAACACTTGGGTTTCTTTTCTACACAGCATCATCTAGAGACAAAGACAACATGCAGACTAATATAGCCAGCCACACAGTGAAGCAGGGGCTTGAAATCAGTAACTGCTAACCAAAGGACCCTTAGTACAATTCTGAGTACCAAAAGGTCCCACTGGTTAAAATTTGGGGAAGGAGACGGAGTAAAAGGCTCTGACTTGGATTTCCTGTGAGCAGTATTGAAAGTTGAACAAGATCATATCCTTTGAGTGGAGGCCAGCATGTATGCCCCACCCCCAACCCCTGAACACCCTCCAAGGTCTCTTGTGGCCAAGTAGCTGGATGCACAGAAGAGAGGCCGGACCTTGCACTGCCAAAGGAAATCCTGACTCTGGTGCTACAGATTTAAAACAAAAATATCAGCAGGACTTCCGAGAACATAAATAGTGCTTAGAAATAATGGAAAAGAGGATGATGCTCTAACCTGGGGCCATCAAGCACCCTACAAATACCTGCCCCCAGCTGCCCTTTGAACCCAAGCGAGACCCATCGTCCTCATCTGTGTTCCAATCCAAATAAGTGATCTCTATGCAATCAGACCCATACTTTGTGTTCTTTCCTTTCCTCAACCAGGGAAAGGAAGCTTATCCCTTTGCCCACTCACGTTCTGTATGCTAATGGTCAATTCAGTCTTGAAGTCGCTGAAATCCTTGGCCAGCTCATAACCATGGTGATAGAAAGTGAAGAGTCCTTGCAAGAATGCCAGGAGCTGTAATGAAAGAAGGGCAGAGTCCACATTAGCATGCTGAACAGGTATTATGCAGCTTTAACCTGAGTTCCGAACCTTGATCTGAAAAGCTAGAATACGGTAATAAAAATGGCTATCATCTACGGAGTTTCCTTGTATGCCAGGCACTGTAACATATGTCTGCTCTCACTAAATGCTCCTAACAGCCTAGCGTGTAAGTACTACTGTTGTTGCCCTTTCCATATTGAGAAAGCAAGTTCAGAGAGGTTAAGTAACTTGCTCCAAAATACAAAGTAAGCAGCAACCAGGATTTGAAACCAGGTCTCCTCGCCATCAGCATCCAAGCTCTTAATCGGAGCCTCGGTACCTTCAAAGAAAATCATTTCTTCAGAAATTGAAGACCAGTCTCCTTCAAGTCCAACTCAGTCTCCATCAAATACATCTGTAGCATTAGGTTACCACACAGAAAAGTGTAGTTATATTGACAGCCAACAGAGAGAGGAGAAGAGGAAGATGGTATGTCCTGAGTTCGCAGTATATAACAGGCAAAGCTAAATCAAAGAAAATCACCCGGCTCAGACTTCAGCTCAAACGTGCTTCTGGGCTGTCCCTATACTATCCACAATAAACACTAGGGATGCTATTATTAAAATATTCCCATGTTCCCACATCTTCAGTTATGACGGTTTCCCTAAATTATCATCCCCTCGAGCTAAAAGGTACTAAATCCATTCACTTTGTAGTCTTGTATTCAGTGAAAAGTGAAAACATCTTTTCAGCCTGATTCTCACAACACACCTTCACCCTCTGAAAACTATGAATGTTCCCTCCCTGCTCCCTGCCAGTCTTCACTTCTCCAGGCTCAACCAATGTTCTTACCTTATTTCCTCCCAGAACCTACACACAAAGCTACTGTTGTTAGGTTTTCCTGGCCCCTTCCCAAGTTCTAGGCCTCCTGCCTCAGTTTCAAATCTCAACCTGGAGAAAGGATTGTAATAAAAGCCTCAACAAGGTTTTAGACAAACCAGAACTTTACCTTGTCACAAGTTCTGTTGTACTGCATTTGGGGACTCCATCCCTGTTCTAACTCAAACTTTTCAACTCACATTCTCTGAGTAGTCTACTCTGACGTCCCTGATCTGCCTCTAACACATGTTACATCAAGATGCAGCTGCCTTGCTTTATATCGGTATTTAATTTTCCAGTTCCTAAAATGAACATACTAGTAATTAAACATATTCTCACTTTATTTTTCACCTAACTCTCCTCTTCTGAGAGGTAGTCCTAACAATGATGGCAAGGGAAACTCAGCCCACCCCTGTTCATCTCCCACCTGGCTTGTGGCAGGAGTGGGAAGCACTAAAGTAGGTGCTACTCTACGTGAGTTAAGAGCAAAGAATGGTTTTTGGATTGAGCCACATGCCTAGCCCAGTTGATCAAAGAGCTCTGTACTATGAAGTAAGGCAAAACCCTGCTTTTAAATAATATGATAACCTACCGCTACTGTCTCCAGGGCAACTATCCCTTTAGATCCTTATGGGAGGTCAGAAAGCAGGCCTTACTGGGTCAAAGATATCTGGCTCAAAAAATATCTTGTGACACCATATACAGATCACTTATATAAATCAATGATTGAGTGGTAAACCACATAGAATCACCAAAGACTAATAATAAATTCTTTTCTTGAAAGATGTTGGAAGCTATTGAACTTCCACTATATAAAATACTTTTTTTGAAAGGAAAGCTTCAGCTTTCCTTTCCTAGATGGCTCCAGTAATAGAGAAGAAGACACACTTACACCAAACCTAGTGTCAGCGTTCACAGTGAAAACTATTGTTTCTTATCTTTTCCTTCCCTCCACCCCTCACTCTCCATTTTCAAATGCTGTGCCCATCACTTTTCCAAGGCACTGAATCATCCACTCCTACAGAATAATACAGAAGATAAGCAGCTAATTCTAAAGTCATTTCTCCTGTTAACTCTGATTTATCTTCCACTTAAAGTCAACAGGGCCTCTCTTGCCCAAGGTAATTAAATATCTTCCAATAGCTCCCTAGAACACCACCTGGGCGTGCACACAAGTACTCCAAGGCAGAAAGTTCCTAGTATTTATTTTGGTTTTCACTTCCTTTGCTATCATGCTTGATTGTCTGCTTCTCTATGGGAAATGATTCCATAGATATTGTTATCTTTGGCCCACTTCCCTTCTCCCCTGACAGCATCTCTCTTCCCCTGGTCCACCTCCTGACATCCCCTTCCCACACATTGCATGAATCCATTACCCAGTGGGAAATGAAAGTCCACTCCGCAGAGGGCTGGGCGAGGCCCACAGAAAGACCCCAGAGATGGGATCGTCTATCTGCCTCAAAGAAATGCTTGTACTCAAACACAAAGAGGATAAGCTTATTGTAGCCTCACCCTGGTTGGCAGATAAGTCAGCACAGCCATATAGGCTCCTCCCTGAATAGTCAGAGACACGGAATCATAGCACAACAAAGGAAATACCAAAGAAAGACCTGCCCCACCTCCTTTTGCCTTCAAGGACCCCCTTCCTTATTCTCTTCAGAAAATAACTAAAAAATATCTATTCTTATTTCCTAGCAGACAACATAGCTATATATATATATATATATATACACGCACTTTTTTTTTTTTTTTTAAGTGAGCAAAAATGTAAGTGCTCCATTTGGTGACAATTGTACCATTCTGGACTATCTGATAAATTTAGGTTGTTTCGATTCATAGAATAAAGCTACTGTTATAGACTGAATAGTGTTCCCCCAACGCTGACAAAAAAAAATTATGTTAAAGTCCTAACCCCAGTAACAGAATGTGACTTTATTTGAAAATAGAGACTTTATGGAGATACTCAAGTTAAAAATCAGGCCCACAGGTCCTGATCTAAAATGACCAGTGGCCTCATAAAAAGGGGATATTTGGACAGAGAAGCAGAGAGATGACACCCACATGAGGACTGGGAGAGCAGTGATGTACCTATTAAGCAAGGAATGCCAAATACTGCCAGCAAACCACCAGAAGCTACAAGGAAGAAACGACAACCTCCCTACAGCTTTCGGAGGGAGCATGGCCCGGCTGACACCTTGATCTTGGACTTCTAGCCTCTAGAACTATGAGAGGCAGTAAGTTTTTGTTCTGAGAACCCAGTTGGTGATACTTGGTTATGGTAGCCTTCCAAATATAACCACCAACAATGACTCATTTGCATGACAAAGAGAAGGGCAGATAGTAGAGTGATGAAAAGCTGCAAGGGGCTAGCCATGTAATAATGTCCTGTAACTCCTCTTTTCCAGGAGGACACTAATGCGACCTACTACTGCACTGGGTGGTCGTGAAGACAGAGATCACCTATGCAATAGCCTTAGCACAGAAGTGCCGACAGGAGCTGTTCAGGAAATGGATATACTTAGATGGATATGTTATAAGATACACTGTGGTGGCAGTGTCCAGCCCGGCCTTAGGAAGGGGGGAACCCAAGATAGGATGCAACAAAAGGAAAAAATGAAGACCTACGATGGGGTAGAAGTAGTGAGAAAGGACAGGAAGGCAAAGCACCAAAAAATATTCTCAAGGTACAACTCAGAGAATGCAATGTCTGATGAATGTGGGGAATGAGTTCTCCGTAGCACTCTATAACCTTCAATTATGAAAACTCAGGGAACAGATGGAACGTGGCTTCACCTTCAAGAAATCAGGACGTCATTATCTGCAATCCAAAATCTCCAGAACATTTAGTACCTCAACAAGAAAATAAAGGCTTCCAGAGCACACACACAAAAATATGGTTTAGGTCCCAGAAGTCTGAATTTTCTTCCCTGGAACACTAAAATTTTGTTTCTTTTTTCTGAAGGTCAGTAACATCCTGGTACTTGAAGTTACTTTCTAAGAAACAAATGAACATGGTCAGTAAGCATGGAGGTTCCTTGAATGGCTGGAAGATTCCCTTGACTGCAACCACCTCAAAATATAAATACCCACACCAAGTGCCCCAGCAATTCATTTCAATAAATTTTTTGCTGGTTTTCTTTCCACATGTAAGCAATCAAATACTGTTTCAGAGAGACTACGAGCCAGATCATTCCACTTCTGCCAGGTACCAGATGTCACCTTAAAGAACAAATGTGCTTCCATTTCCTCATCTGAAAACAGACATGGAACAGCAATCATTTACCCTCAGAGACAGTGTAAGGACTGGATGACATTATGAAGGTGAAGGGATCATTAGCATATAACACAGTTACACCTCATCATCAACTGTTATTTCAGGGTCTTCTGCATCATCTCAGCCAGGGGCTCAAACTTAAAAGTGCCACAGAATCACCTTAGAGGGCTTACTGAAAGAGAGATGACTGGGCCCCACTCCCTAATTTTTGGGTCTGGGTTAGAACCTGAGAGTCTGCATTCCTCATACTTTGACAACCACAGATCTAATCAGCAGTGTTCTGGATCGATCCTCCTGCTATCCACAGCTCCCGAAGCACTGACTGGCCCATGAGGTGGTGGGTTAAGCCATGTTTGCTTCTATAAAAAGTGAAGGTTGAACACGTGAGTTCTACATGCAGCCTTCTCAACCAACTCATTTAACTGTGGGCAAGATCCTATCACTTTCCTTTCATTCCAACCAGAAATTTTTTTCATTAGCTTTCCAGGTGCCTCACTGCATGGCCTGGGACACAACCACAAATCATAACAGTTTTCCACTCTTGAAACCCCTCTGCCACTTCTCCATATGATTCCTCCTGACCCAACTGGCACTGAGCTGCTTGCTCCCTTGGCTACCTCTCTACTGCATTCATCATACTTCCCTAATGAGGCTTTGAACTCCTCAGAAACAGCAGTGGAATCTTCAGCAATTTTTCTGGCAGTGAGTAAATGCTTTCAGATTTACCAAGAATTTTTATATTATAACAGATAGGCCCTGTTAATATTGCCACTTGACTCATTTGCTCATCTGAGCAGACCCTGGTTGACTGGGTGCTACTTAGCAACTATATATTAACTGGGTGCTAAGTAGGTTGATTCCCTCTATTCTAAGCATCATACATGCATAAACTAAGTTATTCTTCCTAACATCTTTATATTCTTTTTCCTTTATTTTTTTTTTTTTTTTACCATTAACATGTAATATATTGTTTGTTTCAGGGGTACAGGTCTGTGAATCATCAGTCTTACACAATTCACAGTGCTCATTTACCACATACCCTCCCCAATGTCCTTCACCCAGCCACCCTATTCCTACCTCCCCCTCCTCTCCAGCAGCCCTCAGTTTGTTTCCTGAGATTAAGAGTCTCTTATGATTTGTCTTCCCCTCACCTTGTTTCATTTTCCCCTCCCCTCCTCCCATGACCCCCTGCCCTGCCTCTTAAATTCCTCATATCAAAGAGATCATATGATAACTGTCTTTCTCTGATTGACTTATTTTGCTTAGCATAATACCCTCTAGTTCCATCCATTGTTGCAAATGGCAAGATTGGGGGGGTGGGGTTTGATGGCTGCATAGTATTCCATTGTATATATATACCATATCTTCTTTATCCATTCATCTATTGATGGACATCTAGGCTCTTTCCATAGTTTGGCTATTGTGGACATTGCTGCTATAAACATTTGGGTGCACTAATATCTTTATATAGTAGGTGATATTATTATACTCATGTTGTAGATAAGGAAACTAAGGCTCAGAAAAATAGGTAACTTCCCCCAAGAACACACAGCTAGGAAATGGCTGAGCTGAGATTTAAATCTAGGCCATCTGGCTCTGGAGCCCTTACCAATGAAAATACTGCCTTTCAAAAACTCAAGACACTGATATACTAAAAGTGAGTGCCAGGAAGTAGAAGGATTATTCCTTGCAGGTTTCTTTTAAAAAAAAGAAGGGGGAAGAGGAGGGGGAGGAGAGGGATGAGGGGGCAGGGGAAGAGGAGGGGGGAGAGGGAAAAGGGAGAGAGGGAGGAGGAGGGGGAAGAGAAGAAGAATGAGAAGGAGAAGGAGGAGGAAAAAAGAAAAGGAAGAGGAGAAAGAGAAGGAGGATGAGGAGAAGGAAAGCCCATCTAGATCAGCAGTCATCCAGCTGAGTCCAGACCAGATTGGCTGAAACACCCAGATTTAGAAGAAATAAATGTCTACTGCTATATGAGGTTCTGTGGTTGTCACCCAGCAAAAGTTAACAGATATAGTACCTGACTCACTAGGAACACCTACTGGGAGGTCAAAGTGGACAGCAACAACAAAAAAATCACCTCAAAGAAGATGGGAGAATTAAAATCCAAGTCCTCAAAAGCAGGCAATTGCAGAATAATATCAATGTGCACAAAAGATTATTACAATCACACTATTGTTTTCCCCTACAAATTCTGGTAAAATCAATTAAACACGCCCAAGCCTCAATCTACAACAGCTTTTGAATGCCTGCCCACACCAGAGGAAACAGTCTTCAGTAAACCTCTCATTGAAACGCTGGCTTTAACAGCTCTGTGTCCTAAGCAGGGAAATCAATAAGCTCGCTTTCTCTGACAGATGGCTTCTGCAGAAACATGAGGATTTTGACCTGAGCTGTGACAGAGACCACTGCTAGATAGGAAGTTGGCTCTAAAGTTTCTAATTTTCAGATAAGAAGAATGAAGTAATTCAAGACCTCAAGGAATTTGCCAGATGAAGTGACAGAGAGTGGAATCCCAAGATCACAGTTTCAGTATAGTAAAAAAATCAAAGCATCAGATCCCAAAACCAACTGGATTCTGATAAAACTATTAGTGAGTCTACATGCCTAAAAAGCATCCCAGAAGTCTGTAAGTTAGAAATAGAGCACAGAATACTCTTTACTAAAAAGTGTGGTTATTTTCTTTCAGTTTCTTACAATTTTATTCTGTTGCCTAAGAAAATCACTTTCTTAAATCTAGGTAGGTAAGAATCTTGTTTCTACAGAGACCCCAAGCTGGGGTCTCAATCACAGCCAGCATTTTTAAGAAAGAATCCCAGGTCTGCAGGAGTTTTAAATTGAGGCCCACATGCTCTTTTGGTGGTACCTGCATATCCTGGTCATGTGCATTTGGAGGGTCACAGTGGGGCAGGGCAGCACCCCTGAGCCATGACCAGGCTAAGGTGGCCTCAACTAAAGCCAGACTTGTTTCTACATGACACCCTTTTATACCCACTGGGACACAGTGACCAAGTCCCAATCCCATTATGGTTCACTAAGCACAATCTCCTGGCTGCCCAGTTTTAACAAACTACAAGGAGAAATCACTTTATGTAACAGCACATTTTAATGCATGGGAGGAGCTTAGAGGGGCTTTGAATTGAGCAGACAAAAAGAGGAAAGTAGTATGTACACTCCCGTTTTTCCTTGGGCAACTACTATATCTGGATTATTTGAGGGAGAAAGAAAGGGGTAGGAGGGTGAAAAGTTAAGGTATAATCACTACTGTCGGGCAAGATTTAAACCGCCCTTGCCCTCTTTCCACCTAGACACCAATTAGCAGAATGGAGGGGGGCTTGACGAAGCAACTACCCCTGAATGCACCATCACTACCACTTAGGTTGCCCAGGAATGGCCTCTGGGGACAATCCAGGGTCAGCAAGATCGACAGAGCACTGTGACTTAGCAGGAGGCACAGACCCAGGGCTGGTCAACCTCTTCATCAGCAACTCAGAGCATTTTGTAATCTAAGCAGTGAAATGAGGGCTGGGGATCAAAGTGTGGGTACACCACGAAACCCTGAGCATCTACTTACAGGCTCCACGAACTCAAACATCTTCCTCTCTTGGACTTCCTGCACCTTGAAGACATACTCCAGCGATACTTCATAGAAATGCTGCCGGACCAAGTCCACTTGGCTGTCTGCCTACAAACAAGAAAGAATTTCAGAGAAAAAAACTGGTTACTACCCAAGGAGAGTATTCAGCAAGCAGGCCAGAAAAATCTCTGGAGACAATTTTTTAAAACAACGCAAACAGCACGAAATAGACATAAGAATAATGACAATGCTCACCCGGGCACCTGACTTTGTGTCAGGCACCATGCCCGCAGGTGGACATATTTTACGTTACTCACTCTTCATTAACTATAGTTATTTAATCCTCATTCCATTCCTAAGAAGAAGACATTCTCATTACCTCTAATTTGCAGAAAGAAAATGAAACCTGCTGACGTTAGGGAACCTGAAGCAGCGGGTACACGGCAGAATTAGGATTTCTGTACTTGTGGATCCACCTCCAAGACCCTTCATCACCTTTTTTTAAAGAAGTACTTATTTATTTGAGAAAAAGAAAGAGAGCAAGTGCATGGCAGGGGCGGGGGGTGAGGGAGTGAGAGAGAAACTATAAGCAGACTCCACAGCGGGACTCAATAGCACAATCATGAGATCAGGAACTGGGCAGAAACCAAGAGTTGAGTCTTCCCTGACTGAGCCACTCAGATGCCCTGCACCTCAACCATCTTTAACCTAGTAGTCTGTACTGCCTCCCACACCCTGGGGTAGACCAGGGTTCCACGGAAAACAATTCTTGAAGGAGAAAAAAAAAAAAAAAACACCTGCAGGGATATCCACATCCCATCAGGAATGAACCAAATAAGCTGTTAGAGAGGGCAGGGGACCTCAGAAAAGGCCATTTCCACGTGAGTTTCCCATACTTTCTTTGTTGTCAAAGCACAATTTACCCCAGCAGAGTCATTACATTACCCCAACATAGCCTCAGTCCTCCCTCTTTGCAAATGTGGGAGAGGGGACACCTGAAAAGGCCCACACATGAGTATAATTAAACCACTGATGTGGGACATAGGTGCCAGAGGAGAAAATGGGGGGAAGGGGGGGGGAGGGAGAGAGAGGGAGAGAGTGTGAGAAAGAGAGTACGTGTGTGTGTGTGTGTGTGTGTGTGTGTGTGTGTGTGTGTGTGTATTTAACAATTTTATTTATTTGCAAGAGAGAGCACAAGCGGGGGGTGGGGGAGGTGAGAGGGAGAAGCAGGCTCCCTGCTCAGCAGGGCTCTGACACAGGGCTCCATCCCAGGGTCCCAGGATCCTGACCTGAGCTGAAGGCAGATGCTTAACCAACTGAGCCACCCAGTATTTTTTTTTTTTTTTTATTTGACAGACAGATCACAAGTAGGCAGAGAGGCAGGCAGAGAGAGACAGGAGGAGGAGGCAGGCTCCCCGCTGAGCAGAGAGCCCGATGCGGGACTCGATCCCAGGACCCTGAGATCATGACCTGAACCGAAGGCAAAGGCTTTAACCACTGAGCCACCCAGGCGCCCCCACCCAGTATTTTTTAATAGAAATGAATCCCCTGCTGGTAGGAAACACAACTCTGTTCTCTTTAGAGACGGAAGGATCAGAAACCATTCTACAACATACTTCACAAAGACACGAAAAGCCCCCAAAGAACCATGTCTTTCTGTGCTCCCCTGTCAAGATCCCTGCAGAAGAAACTTGGGACAGACCTTAGCTGCCATTACACCAAATATAGCACAGCTATCTTTCTGTCTAAAGGACTTGACAAATCATTCATTCAACCATCATGAACAAAAAGAAACTTCCTTTGTGGAGCTCATAGTGTAGTGAAGAAAAGAGATATTAAAAAATCATGTAGGTAGAGAGAGGGTGGTGGGGTTATGGACACTGGGGAGGGTATGTGATATGGTGAGTGCTGTGAAGTATGTAAACCTGGTGATTCATAGACCTGTACCCCTGGGGCTAATAATACATTCTATGTTTATTAAAAAATTAAAAAATTTTTTTAAAAATCATGTAAATAAACAGAAGATTGCAAACTCTGGGAGAGCACAAATAGCCCACTCTCCTGTGAGCATCTTCCTCCCAGATCAACGTATTAATATACAGAAGTTAGTCTACTGAGTAAGTGCTGAACAAAAGCAAAACGAAAGGCTAAGCCTGGGGACATTTTCTAAGCCTCCAAGCAGAGCAAGTTGGCATCTGAGGACTGAGAGATCTTTATTCGGAGAGACAGTTTCAGAAGTGCTGCCCTCCACCGCACCCCCCGCCACCCCCAAGGTATGGCAGTTCAGACCTCTGGGCTGACATCCTTCCACCTGGGCTCCTGCCAGCTAAGCCCCATATGTTCCTGCAGCCTTTAATTTCCTCGTAGTGCAAATCCAACACACTTCCACCAGGGATGCATCTACTTCCCCGGACCACCCACACACCTCCAACATTCTCCCTGCTCAGGCTTGCCAACTGACACTGCAACGGAAGAAAGGGTCATTCAGGAAATGTACAAAGTGGCTCCTGCAGTTAAGCAGCAATGGAGGAAACTCCTCTGAGACAAATAGCAGAGCCCAGCATCAGCCAGAGAGCTAATGGCAAACAACTGGCGTGCACTTGCAGTTCTAGCATTCTCTAGCTAGAGAGACCTGCTCAAGTCCCTTAACCTCTCAGGTCTCCTTCCCACACCTGGAGGCTGGAGATAGTATCTGCCCTTTTTCTGCAGGCCAGCTATTTTCAAGAGAAAATGAGCTTAAGGATATGAGCAATTTGAATAGCAAAAGATGCTGTGTGCATCGTAGTTGTCACTACCACCAGGCACTGCAGAGAAGATGGGCCTCGATCCCAGCTCCTCCCCTAAGTCAGCCATGAGTCTCTGGGTGATTATACTCCTCTCCTAACTGGTCTCCCTATTCACTTTCTCCCCACCACCCCAATCCAGTCTGCACCCAGCAACCAGAAGAGCTTTCTTCAAATTTGAGCCAGAGCTTCTCACAACCCCCTCAATGCCTTTATCTGGCTTCTACCATGTCTACAAGACACCCTATGACCTGCCCACCTATCCCTCCTCCCAGCCTACCTCCAAAGCATTCTCACCATGCTCCAGCCTCTGACATAGACTCCGTGCCCTGTAACATTCCAAATGCTTTCCTGTCAATCAATCTTTGCACTTGGGTGTTCCTTCTGCTGATAAACCTCTTTTCCTTGATAAATACCAAATTTTTTTAAAACTTTAAGACACAGTAAGAAACACCTTTTACATTATGACCTGAAAAAAACACGCCTCTATAGACTTCTTCTGTTCTAGCCTACTCTACTGCATTTCATGACCCAGTAGTCCAGATTTTTATGACACACACAGTTTTTAAAAACAGTTTAAGTAATCTCTACACCCAGAGTGGGCCTTGAACTCACAACCTTGAGATCAGGAATCACACACTCTAGCAACTGAACCAGCCAGACAAACCAACATACCCACAATTTAAAGAACACTGCCCTAGCTTTTCTCTTGGTTGTCCTTCTCATCCTTCTGGTTTCCATTCAAATATTAGCCTCTTTAGAGAAGACTTTATTGACCACGTTACTGTACATAAGACAAAGACTTCCTGGAGTAAACTACCTCCCAATTTGTTTCCTTATCACTATATAAAATTCTTTTCTATGATCATCTCTTCTACTATTTTGCCTACGGCAACATAATGTCAATGAGAGCAAAGACTTAGTCTCATTTTCCATTTTACTATCCCACCTTCCAGAACAGTGCCAGGCCCTTAATAAGTATTCAAGAGAGATTTGAGGAATGAATGAATTGATCTCTATGTGGCCAATAGTGATCCAGTTCTCAGAAGAAATGCCTAACTTGATGTATTTCCAAAGGAAAGGGAAGAAAAAATCCAAGTGGAATGGTATGTTTCTCCTGCTAATGTCCCTACTCATCTGGGCCACAGAATTCAACATATCTTTTAGACCCCCATCCTGCAATGGACTCATAGGTCAAGAGCCAGCCCACCTGGCTGGCCACTCAAAATCGTTTCTCCACTTGTTACCTGAGAAGCAGTGAATCTCGCAGCTTGTTTGAGACGTACCAACCATTCTATGCTTCTTGGAAAAGAGGCACTGTCCTAGACTAAAAGTTCCAGGAAGCCAATCATTCATTTCACTCTCCACAATTGGCTCAACACCTGAATAGACTCACAGAAGCGTGTAGTGTACTTTTGTTAAGTGAATCTTTTCTTTGAAGCTTCATAGCTCTTGAAAAATACGCTGATTTTTAAAAAATAATCATCCACTAGATGGCACTGTCATTCCACATGACTGAGCTATGATTTTACCCACCAGGATGTGGGGATGGGCTAGATGTTAAAGGTATGCAGTTCTGAGGCCTGCAATCAGGGAAGAATTCTGGATAATCAAAGAAAGGAGATTTCATTAAAAGTGCACTAGGTGTTTAGTCACGTTCTTAAGTTGATTTTTTAATAAATAGGAAGAAATCATCACTAAATAGCTGGAAGACCTTGAATAAATCGACCTCTGCAAGGAACCCAGTTACTTCAAATATATTTCCAGGAGGTTCAACCAGAAGATTATCAAGGTCCCTCCTTCAGGCCAATTCTATTTTCATGACACATGCATTGAATAACAACGACTTACAGGCAGCCCAGCAATGTCCCACCCTCCCAACACAGAAAGACAAGCAGAAGGGCACAGTGAGGTATGAGAAAAGAGTTCCAGAATCCAGTGTGCACAACCTCACTGAAGAGCTATGAGCAAGCTATTTAACACCTTCAAGCCTTAATCTCCTCATATGTAAAATCAAGGGAATACATCTGTACCTCACAAGAAGGTGGTAAGGATTTGAGAAGGTTCCAAATGAAGTGCCTAACACAGTACCCAGTACAAAAATAAGCATTCAGTAAATATTTCCTGCTATTATTGTTGGTGGTGGTGGAAGTATTATATCATTTTTGTAATAGTATTTTTATCAATTCAATTCAGCTAAGGTACAACTAAAAAGCAATCCTTGAGAACTGACCCAGATGTTTCTGAAAGACCTGCAGCCTGCTCCTTGCCCTACAAAGTACTTAGAAAGCATGACTGGATCAAAGACAAGCACACAACGAACTGTAACAAAAGAACATAATGAAGAAATGCCCACTAATACATATAACTGGCTAGGTCAGTGCTATGGACTAATGTTTGTGTCCCTGACAACACTCATATGCTGAAACCTAACCTCCAGTGTGATAGCACTTAGAGGTGTGGCATTTGGGAGGTGATCAAGTCATGATGGTGGAGTCCTCATGAATGGGATGAGTGGCCTTATAGAAGAGACCCCGGAGAGCTCCCTTAGCCCTTCTACCACGTGGGCCACAGCAAGAAGACAGCCATTTATGAACCAGGAGGCAAGCTCTCACTAGACACTAAATCTGCCAGCACCTTAATATTGGCCTTCCTAACCTCCAGAACTGTGAGAGTTAAATTTCTGTCTCTATAAGCTGCCTAGTCTACGGTATTCTATTTTAGTAACCTGAACATATGAAGTCAGTGAGGAAGAGAGTACCATCCACTTTCAGAAAAGGGATGGGGAAAAATAAGCCAGTCTTGGGGTTAGTACTTTTTATTTGTTTAGCAGCCATAATTTGCCTTCTCATGCATTAAGTACACAGAATAGATAGTTTGTATTTTATAAAAAATGGAACTAAAAGCTCAGAGAGATGAACACTTGTCCTAGGTCACACAGTGACTATATGGCATAGCAGACCCTGAAGTTAGATATCTCTTTGCCACCCAGTTCTGTGGTCCTGACACTGTGCTCTCTCAGAAGAGGGCTTGGTGTGGCCTTAAAAGAGTATGTTAGACTCATCCCAGACCATATCAGCAGGATCCAGGAATAGAGGGAACAGATCGGAGAAGCATCCTCACTCTGGGGGACACCATGCCTACAGACTAACTGTACTACAGGCCTCTCAACACCAGTAGGTGCTGGAACAATCATGTCGTTGCTCAACTCTTAAAGACCCTGACTCCTGTTAACTGCTTAGAAACTACAGAGCTGGCCAGCTCTGGTCATTCTGAGTTGCAGCCAAAAAGATTGTCCTTAAATGTAGTTTCCAAACCTTAAATGCCAAATGATACCCGAAGAAAGATAGCTAGAAAGTGAGGGCATCAGGACAGATCCTGAATGGATTTACACACTTAGCATGAACGACCACATATGAGCATCTTCCAGGGCTCATACCCCATGTACAGCTGGGATTCCATTCAGTGAATTTAGTACTTAATATACAATCCACTGAAAATAGGTTTTCTTTAGCCTTCTCAAGTGTATTTGACAAGATTTATCTGAGTAGCTATGCTATCTTCAAGAATCACCTTGCCATGTGTTTGCTGCTTTTTCCCTAGACAGGCACAAGATCTTCAAAGATAGGTTAGTGTTTTCTACTCCCCACAGTTCAAACCAAGTGCTCAGTTGCTTTTGGTTGGTTGGCCAAGAACTGGTCTGCAAAGCCCACCACAAACACTTGTTGCCAGAGTCGCTATTGGGCCCCATTTGTCACTTACACAACTGGTTTAAACTCCCGTATCAAAGCAGAGAGTTCTGAGAACCAGATGTCCCTGAGGACCTGGTTGGCAGGGGACTTGACTCCACCATCCCCTGAGGAATCATCATCGTTCAACCTTCAGCCACAGATCTGCAGAGTAACTTTCACCTGACAGAAATACTGCATGGTATTTGCTCAAAAAAAAAGGAAATTCAAGAATAAGGGCTAGCTTGACAAGTGTCCATCGACTAATGAATGGGTAAAAAAGATGCAGTTTAGAATTACAGAGGAGAATTACTCAGGCACTTCAAAAAAAAAAAAAAAATTGCCATTTGCTGCAATGTGGTTAGATCTAAAAAGTATAATGCTAAGTGAAATAAGTCAGCCAGAGAAAAACAAATATCATATGATTCCACTTGTGTGGTATTTAAGAAGAAAAAAAAAATGAGCAAAGGAAAAGGGAGGAAAGGAGAGAGAGAGAGAAAAAACAAGAAACAGACTCTTTATTAAAGAGACCACACCGAAGGTTACCAGGGGGGAGGTGGGTGGGGAGATGGGGTAAATGTGTGATGAGGATTAAGGAATGCACTTGTCCTGATGAGCACCGGGTGAGGTATGGAACTGCTGAATCACTGGACTGTACACCCAAAACAAATATTATACTATATGTTAACTAACTGGAATTTTAAAGAAACTGAAATAAGAATGAGAGCTAGCTTGAAAGTCACAGCCTCTCTTTAGCACATACTTGAGAAAGGTCAAGCAAATTGTTAAAAACAAAATAACATTCATGTTGTCAACTTCGGACTTCCACTAGGAAACTGCTCTATCTCCCAAGAAAAAAACACCCTCACTATGCAAATCTCCATGAACTAAACAAAAATGATCAGAGATCCACAGCTGCAAAGCTAACTTATCTTTCCAAGTGAACATACTCTTCATGTCAATCCAGAAAGGCTCAGGGTAGATAAGATAAATTACCTTTTTTAGAAACAAGTTTAGGAAAGCATAAAGCATAGGAATAACAAAACCCGCTTAAGGAAAAAAGAAAAGGAAGCAAGAAAGACAGACTAATATCAAGTACTGGTTGAAGTAAATTTTTTTTTGGTTGGTTGAAATAATTTTTAAAAAATAACAACCAGGGCACCTCGAAGGCTCAGTTGGTTAAGGCTCTGCCTTGGGCTCAGGTCATGATCCCTGGTCCTGGGCTAGAGCCCCAGGTCAGGATCCCTGCTCAGCAGGGAGCCTGCTTCTGCTTCTCCCTCTCCTTCTGCCCCTGTCCGCGCCCCTCCTGCTCTCTCCCTCTCTCAAATATATAAATAAAATCTTTAAAAAATAATAACAATAGTAGTAACAATAAAGAAGGATGACCAAAGTGTTCCAGATGCTAATGTCTCAAATTACTGATATAAGGTAGGAAGACAAAAAGTAAGACAGGAAGTGCAGAATTAAGGTAAAGGGTAAGAGAAACAGGAAACCAGATTTCAGTTTGAAAGGAAGAAGCACGTTTTAGTGACTAGGGCTGCCCAATAAGGAGGTGCTTGATCTTGACCAGCAGTACCTGCCCCCATCCCACTAGTAGGTTGGACAGCCAGAAAAGGGGTGCTGTGGGCGGGAAGATACAAGGGCAATACAGGCAACAGGCATCTGATGAGGGATCAAGGTCAAGCTCCTGGTTTGTGAGGTCTTTTCAAACCTCAGGATTTTCTGGCAAAGGTGAGCCAGCACGTATCCCCTGTACCACACAGAACTTGAACACCTTATTCAGGATACTACTGAAGTTTCTTACCTCCTGAAGCTGCGATTCTTTCTTCTTGGAAGACAAATTTAAGTGTTTTTCTAAGATGCCACAATACTTTTCTGTCTCCTTGTCATACTTCTTTTTGGCTTCCTGGCAAAAAGAGGAAAAGAGAAAAAGTAAAATGTTGCAGGAATAAAAGCAATCTTGTCAAGACCTCTGCCTGTTCAATTTCATAGCTTCATCGTTCCCTCAGACCCAGAACAGCGGACAACCCAGCTATTTAATGTGCATTAAATAAAGCCACTCCCCTGCCAACAGCAGACCAATGGTTTTTGAGTGTCTATCATAAAGGAACCACCACAATGCCAGAAACAAGGTAAATACCAGTATTTAATAGTGGCAAAGCCAGGATTCCATGTCCTGAGAACCTCAGTTGTGAAAAAGAAATTTCTAATTTCTAAGTTCAAGAATATTCAGAACAGAGCAAAGTTACCTATGAAGCGAATTCCAGAGCACAAAGACCCAACTGAAATCTTAAGTGGGACAAGTCTAGAATAAGGGTAGTTCCAGCTTTAACAATGGTCAAAAAGTACTTAATACATAGACCTAATTTCCCTGGGCACAACAGTAGCACATGTGGGTCTTTAAAATGAATGAAGATTCAAAAGAAGACAAATGAATTCACAGAAGCATCATTCTCACTAACAAACAAATAATAAAAGCTAAAGCAACATCACTGCCCATAGAAAGGGTTTGAGATCATGAAAGTGTTGGACATCTAATAAATTTAAATAGAAGGGCGAGGTAGTCATATGGCAAGTTGCTTGTAATGTAAATTATTAATATGATACAAACTTGGTGCATCCTACATAGAGTGTAGCTACCTATAGACAAAGATTAGATGGCAAAACAAGAATAATCAAGTTAAGGAAATGGGATAATGGGTGATTTTCTTCTCACATTGGGAAATTTTTATTATCCTACATTAACAGCTTTCAAAATAAAAAATAATAAATATCATAATACACTTAATAATCCCTGCCAAATCACTGAGTCATTGAGATTCTACTTTTATCTCCCATTTTACAAATAAGGAAATTTAGATCTAGGGAAGTTAACTTGTAAAAAGTCATAGAGAGTGACAGAGCTGGGATGTGAGGCCAGAGAGGCTGCCTCCAAAGCCCAACTCTCAGTCGCACCTGAGATGTATGTTCACAGGCGGTCTCTTTTTTCCATCCACTTTCTAGTGGGGATGGCAAGCAAGAGGGCTAGAAGATGGTGGACAATGGCCTAATGAACATGATCAATTTCACTAAGTGAGCCCCTCAGTCTTACTCTTAACTTAGGTGGAACCCACAGGAACTAATTTTCTACAACTCCAAGGCCTCTATAGAGGAGAAAAAATTTTGCAGTCAGATAAGGAAGCTCAGAGACATCTCCATTCATTTCACAAAGATGTAACAAGTAACCACTCTGTGTCAGGCTCCTGTAGCCAATGGTCAAGGCAAAAGTGGTCCCAAGCCTTATGGTAGGGGTGTTCTAGTAGGACAGACACAATTGACCAGGAAACAAATAAATAATTATCGGCAGTCACAAGTGCTATGAAGGAAATAAGGTGCAGTCAGAGATTCCACAGATAGGGTGCTCCAGAGAGGCCTCACTGGGGAAGGGAGTGTGAGCTGCTAATCATGTGAGGGACAGGGTGGACCCTTCTAGAACACTAGAGCAGTAAGTACAAATGCTCCGGGCTTAACACTGGGAAGCCTAAGTGGCACAGGAATCACCAAGAAGCTCTCGCCTGAAGCCCTGACAATCTCCTGCCACATGAGGACTCCATTTTTCTGGTTGACAGTATGATTCTAAGCCTTCAAAGTGGGAGGACTCATCACAGACCCTTGTTAGCTGACATGTAACCATTTTTACAAACCTGAATTTTGCTTGGAAGACTATTTATACACAAGAACAACACAACATGCAGAAGCGAGTGAGGAAAAAGCCCGAGGAGACATTACTCCTTCAAATTTGAAGAAGGGTACATACAGGCTAGACACTTGATTTAAACAACTCTTTCTTGCATAGAAATCACCAACTTTGCGCTATGGCCCCAACTCCACTTCATGCTCACAGATCCACTCCAGCAGCCTGTCAGCAAGCCCCAAGGAGAACCCTGTGCTGCAAGAGCCAAGCCGGCCAGAGGTGAGAAAAGGCCAGTGAACATGAGTCACCAGCATTCTGTGACTTTCTGGCAACTTGAGCTGCCACATTCCGTGTTCAAGAGGACAGCCAGAGCTAACAAGAAAGGGAAGCAGTTTCTGTCCTGGAAAACAGCAACAAGACCTCTGAGGATAACTCTACTAAGATAATGGTCTTAAGTTGAGAGGGTAGTCTTAGTGAGTTTAAATTCTCTACTCAGATATAAGATGGTGCTTGCCTTCCAGGGAATCCACTGTGGCCACCTAAATGGATGAAGGACAGAATTAGGATTCTGGAAATGATTCCCAATTCTACATGGATCGATTCTAAACAAATCACTGCCCCTCTTCAGAACTGGGTTCTCTCATCTATTAAACTGAGGAGGACTCCAGGAGGTAACTGGTCAGGTTCCTTCCTCTTTCAGCTCAGAGTGTTTAACAAAGAATAAAAACACCTCCCCCCTCACAGGCCTATTAGGATAAAATGAGATAAGCCACAGGCCATTCTTAGCAGAGGGTCCATCACATAGAAAATGCACAATAAAATTCAATAATGATGATGATGATGGCAGTAGTGATGACGGCAGCTATCGTGGTGAGTGACAGTGGTCAAGTAGCCCATCATCTGAATGTGCCTCCTCCTTACTGAGAACACCACTTCCTTCCCATGCCTAAGGTCCCATGAGGGAAGCCTTCATAGCACATACCACAATTTGAAATTATGCTTATTTACATCTTTTTGTTTCATGTCGTTCTCCCCAGCCACACCAGGAGCACAGTACATCTTCACTTGTTCTCCACCATAAACCAGTGTGTAGTGTAGTACCAGGCACAAAGCAGGCACTCACCTATCTTTTTTAAATTAATGAACTGTATGTACTGAATCTAACAGCTAACATAAAAAGCCTATATGACAAGCACTGTTCTAAGCACTGTATGTGCGTTTACTCATGTCTTTTTCATAAGAACTCTACAAAGTAAATATTATCAGTGTCCCCACCCTACAGATCAGGAAACAGGTACAGAGAAGTTCAGCTACTCCCCAAGCTGGCATGCCAATGCAACAAATGAGGTTAGGGCCCCCTCTTCACCATAAACTTCTCCTTTCACTGGAGAGCCCAGCTCTCTAAATGCACCTCGCCTGGAGGAAAAACAAATTCCCCCAAACTCAGAATTCTGAACCCAGGGTCACAGTTATGCCCAGCTCCAGGGCTGTGCCCTACCACAGGGCAGCTATGCTAGCACCAGAATGACCACGGGTCCTCCTCCCTGGCAGCCTTCACTCCCAACACTAACTTCTGCTTCTTGCAAGTAGCAACAGGTTGTTATAGCAACTGAAGCCACACCAGAGCGGGAGGAAGGGTAATTTTAGCACAGGCAGAGTTCAGAAACTTCTACTTGGCTGCTCAAGAGCACTGGCTGGCTTTTAGATATTCCTTAGTCTGCTGCCTAGACTGTCTGGTGAAGAGTCTGTTTCTTTGCTTTCTCTTAAATGTATACAATACTAGGATATAAATGTGTGCATGTAGAGGGAGGGGAGGAACAAGTACAGAGAAAAAAGGAAATGACACAGGAAGAAGGAGGAAAATCATCTCCAACATCATCACACTATTCAAGAGGAATGAGAGATCAGAGTATGTATGAGAGGCAACACGTTTTGATGAGTGATGATTTTATTCAAATTCTTTCATTCTTCTACTTCTCACCTTCTACAGCCATACCCCCACCCCATGCCCAGAAGAGTAACTGCTCCTGTCATTACAATCACTGGTATTACCCAAAACGAGGCCACTCAGACTCCTGCTTCACCTCCGTGGCAACTGTGGGAATGCCCAAAACCAGGGACGGAGGGAAGAGGGCAGAATGAGAAGCATCCATGCTCAGAGGCAGGAAAGACTCTTGGAAAGAGGACTTGATAAGGAGGTCTGTCTGCTCCACTGCGGCCTCTAAGCTTTTCAGAATCCCCAGAGCCACTGCCATATGTTATCATGAGTAGGAAGCACAGGTCCCAAGGCCACTAAAGGGAAGGCCTGATTACTGGGCCTGCAAATATGAGAACTTGGGGAGGGACACTCATGGCAAATTCAAAGTCTTGGACAAACTTTTTATGGAACAAGACTCCCTTTTAATTTTACATTCCTTAATCTCTGATACAAAACCCATGAGCTTTAATTTCTTCATAAATGTAAAGTGTAAAATTGGTAGATAGTGCTATAGAACTGGAAGAAAAATCTTTGCTGTGGTCCATCCTTCAAACTACAGTCAACCATCCCTCTGAAGAACGTTCACTGAACAGCACATCATTTTTTCAGACCCTAACCACATTCATTTTCAGAAGCACGTGTGCTTAGGTGGGGAGGTGGGGTTGGGAGACAGATCCCACTTCATTACATTGCAGTTACCTATTCCCCACCTATTGGCATCTACCTCTCAAGGCCATTTCACAGAGGAGTAAAATTACCGTCAGAGCGATGTTGCCCAAAACCCCCTGCAGGTGGCGCACAGGACTGCGGCTGAAGAACTCATGGTTCCAGAAAAAAGAGGAAGAGTATCTGGTAAATCCTTCTGCTTTCACTGATCCCAGTGCAAACACCTTCTGTGCAAGTGGCCTCTAACACCCTACTACCAGTCAAACCAGCTAGATTTCTCACAGCACAGGGGAACCCTGGAGAATTCATCTTTCAAAAATGAACAAGATTCCCTTTGCACCCTTCTCAGAGAAATTTCAGCTGCAAGCCAGCCACATTTCAGCTGCAGTCCCTCCTGGTCAGTGGTAACAAACCAGAACATAGAAGTTGAAGCAGTCCTGTTTTTTGACCTGCACTATGTGGAATATGTACTTTTAAATTATTTGCCAATATTTTTTTAAACCAGGACATTTCAAAGAAAACTCTGACATTTCACTTTTTCTTGAAAAATTTCAAGATCTGGCAACAACGGGCGCATTTACACTCAGCAAAAATGAGCTCACAACAGGGTCGCGAGACCCTCAGGGCCCATTTTGCAACTCCCTGGTCTAGGCTCTGAGCCCTGGACTCTGCAGTAAGTACAATTCCACCTTGTCCAAGCACAGAGGTATCTGCTAACACAAGGAGGCATGGTTTCTACCTTTGCACAATTTATGAACTAGCAAAAAAAGATTAGGTAACAAAATACTAGAATGACTGCTCTGGGGTTGACCAATCAGTCTTACCTTAGACACCTGTGAGTAACTGATGAACCACTATATAAAATCCAAAAACAAGGCTGCCCTAAAATCCAAGAGCAAGGTTTGCATAATTCTCACCTTGGCAGCCCCAATCTGCTCCTTCCGAAACTTCTCCAAGGGAGTGATGAGCACCTCGCTGGCATTCTCAATCTGGTGAGGAAAAACAGGGCAGGGGAATGGGGTAGACACATACACAAAAGCAAATATCAGTTAAGAATTCTAGCAGTTTGGGCACAAAATGCCTCTCACTTTAAAATCTGAGTAAGCAGGGTGCCTGGGTGGCTCAGTCAGTTAAGTGTCTGACTCTTTTTTTTTTTTTTAAAGATTTTATTTAATTTGACAGAGAGAGATCACAAGTAGGCAGAGAGGCAGCCAGAGATAGAAGGGGAAGCAGTCTCCCCACTGAGCAGAAAGCCCAATATGGTGCTCGATCCCAGGACCCTGGGATCATGACCTGAGCCAAAGGCAGAGGCTTAACCCACTAAGCCAACCAGGCACCCCATCATCTGACTCTTGATTTAAGCTCAGGTCATGATCTGATAATGCCCCATGGCATTAGGTTCCGTGCTCAGTGCGGAGTCTGCTTGAGGATTCTCTCCCTCTCTCTCTGGCCCCTCCCCTACCATGCTCTCAAGCTCTCTAAATCAAATCTTTTTTTTAAAACTGAGTAAGCAATACTGTTGCACGTGTCAATTTTTCACAATACTTGAACAGAAAGCATGTCAGATCAAACTCATCATCTCAAAACATGGAATTCTTCCTGTGTGTGACTGATTCCTTAAAAATGAGTACCTTTTGGGGCGCTAGGTGGTTCACTCAGTTAAGCATCTGCCTTTAGCTCAAGTCATGATCCTAGGGTCCTGGGATTGAGCCCCATATTGGACTCCCTGTTCAGTGGAGAGTCTGCTTCTTCCTCTCCCTCTGCCCTTTCCCCCAGTCATTCTCTATCTCAAATAAATAAAATCTCTTTTTTTTTTTTAAATGAGTATCTCTGGGGCACCTGGGTTGCTCAGCTTGTTAAGTGTCAGCCTGTGGTTCAGCTCATGATCCCGGGGAACTGGGATCAAGCCCCGCAGTCTGTTTCTCCCTCTCCCTCTGACCCTCCCCACTGCTTGTGCTCTTCCTCACTTACTCTCTCTAAAGAATAAATTAAAAATCTTAAAAATAATAAAAACAAGTAATTTGAAAAACGTAAGCAACCATGTAAAGGCAGAAGGGAACTGGTGACAGGGTAGGATCTAAATTTCAGCTTCAGGGGAGTCCGCTTCTCCCTCTGACCTTCTCCTCTCTCATGCTCTCTCTCACTAATTCTCTCTCAAATAAAAAAAAAAAAAAAAAAATCTTTAAATTTCAGCTTCAGGTATATCTTATGAATGCCCATTCACCCAAGCCATATTTAGGTAGATATATTTTAGGCAGATCAACACTGAGTCTAGGTTAAGAGCAAGAAACACCTTTGGACGTGGGGTGGCATGAAAACCTTCCAAGTCTGACTTTGTGTATTCCTACCAGTACAAGAATCAGGACATCTGTGCCTCCAGACCACTGGCTACCTCTCAACCTCCCCCACCACTCAATCCATCAGGTCCTAGATGCCAACCATACCATCACCCCCATGCACCTCAAATGCACAAAACTAGTCCACTTTCCAGGCTTTTGCGTTTAGACATTCCCTCACATGCTTGATCCCCAAATGCTCTCATGAACGACTCATTTATTATTCTAATTGAGGTACTGGCTTAAAGGACACCACTTTAAGAAGGCCTTCCAGGATCACCCGCATATTCCAAAGAAACTTCTCACCACGCCACCAAGTGTTTTCTTCAGAAGATGTAGGCCAGCTAAAGTTTTCTAATTTACCACTATGCAAACACACACACATACCACTACCTCATAAAAAGTTCACTTGCCTACCATTTCCCCCCAAACACAGAAGAGTGCCGAAACAAAGAAGCACTCAAATATTTTTCAATGACTACAGGAATGAATGAATTATTTCTTGACTAGCTGCCAACTGTGTGACCACAGGCAAAGTATTTAACCTCTCTGGGCTCTAATTTCCTAATCTGCAAAATGAGTAGGCTGGATTGTTCCAGCTCTAGGAATCTATGGTCTATTCTAAGGCAGTAAAATATTTTACAATCTTTCCTTTTAAATCATTCACTGCTCACTTGTCACTCAATTAATTATTTCAGGAATCTTGATACAACAAAGCATTATTTTTCTAAATCACATGCATATACATCACAATGAAACCAACAGAGTAAATGCCAGAAGCCAAAGATGGACACAGCCAAGAACTAACTGAGCAATGGGAGGAATAAAAGGTGGCAGGTCTCCAAATTTATTGCCATTTGCTTTTTTCTCAAATTTGAGAGCACTTATCTAGGAAGAGAGCATTTTAACATGAGGGTTGCAATGTTTAACTTGTTTGATTTTTATTATTATTTGATGTTGCTTAATGGGCTCACTTGTTTAAAACTTCCACAAATCAAGGGTAAGTCTCCGAAGCTCACAGTGGTATGCTGAGCCCCTAAGCCACTAATTTTCACCCTAAGCTGCATGTCAGGCTCACCTGGGATGCTTCTAAAAATCCCAATGTCCAGGCTACACTTCAAACCAATAAAATCAGAATCTCTGTACTTCATCCTAGGAATCAGTATATTTTAAACTTCCCAAGTTGTTTCAATGGGCATCCATGATTGAGAACCTAGCCTTAAGGAGATGCTAAATACACAAAAGCAGTACCTACTCACCTGGGAACCAGGATGCCCAAGACCCTGTCCCAGTCCTTCTACTGCTTGCTATTTGCCTTCACCAGACCTCAGTTTTCCCATGTGGCCAATGAAAGACTACAGACAGTGAGAAATAAGGTTGTTCTGGGTCTAAGATTCTAGGACTGTGTAATTTCCACCAGTTGCAAGCACTATACTGATGCTGGGAACAGAAGCCCACTCTATGCCCTTCAAGAACATGGGACAGACACATGCAATGATTATCAGACACAATGTGGTAAATGGAGAATCCGAGACATGAGCTGGATACTAAGAAAATACAAAGCATGGCCAAATACCCCAGGGACTGAGAGAAGGCTTCCCAAAAATGTGTGGCTTTTCAAAGCTGAGCTCAGCTGATGAGGTACGGAAGGGGCTTGCAACGGCTAGATACTCAGACGCACACAGCAGAAACTCAGTTCACTGACATTAATAATAAAATTGCAGAGGCAAACTGAAGAGTATAATCCAGTCATTGTTCTCTTACCATAGGCCACAGCAATCTGTCCAGTATTCAGCTTGATTTGCTTACCACACCCCCCACCCACAAATACTGACTAGGCCAAGAATCAGACTCCAAAGAATCACTTCCCTTTCTCAGGCAGTAGCACATGCACAAACACACAAGCTTCCCCCTGCCCCCACCTACCACCAACCCTGCTGCAGCCACCAGCCTCCGGATTCTGGTTCAAGTGCCCAAAAATGAGCAATCAAGGAAAACAGAGAGACACTATTTCTGTCTTTCTGTGCAGGGCAGAAGGTGAGACCTTCTGCTCTATTGAGAATTTCAACGAAATTTCCCCATTCTTTGGTCTAACACAAATTTGGGTTTGAATCCAGACTGCAACTGTTTTTAACTATGTGATCTTGGGCATGTTAATCATTCTAAACCTCAAGATCTTTATCTAGACACTGGGATGCTACAGGTACCACCTCACAGAGTCATCATGCGGGTTAAAATTTACAATGTGTGCATACATAATGTCTTGGTCAAGACTACGGACTGAGCAGCATCTCCTGAAAATTTATAAGGGGAAGCCCTAACCTCTATCAATTAAACAAAGAGACTCTAATGGTCTAACAGCCTATGTAAGCCAACCAAAACCCAAGGCTGTAAATCCCTCAAGGTTAAGAAATGGAAACAACTAGGCTTTCCCAAATAAGGCAACAGCCTGCAATATAGCCCATCGTGTAATTTCCTTGCTACTTCCATATGTTCTCTATAAAAGTATTTGCTCTATAGTTCTGTCAGTAGAGCTTTCCTAAATATTTCTAGTTTGGTACTGTCCAATATGAACCAATTTTTGTTCAAATAAAATCTTAAAAATATGATATGCCTCATATTATCCTTTAATACCTTCTGCGTAACACTATCTGGAGATGAAGCCTTTGGAAGGTAATTAGGTCATCAGGGTAGAATCCTCACAATGGGATTAAAGCCATTCTAAGCAAAGACTGAAGAGCCATTCCGTCCCCTTTCCCTCCCATTTAAGGACACAGCAAGAAGGGGGCCATGTGTAAGCCAGGAAAAGTGTCCTCACCAGGAACCAAATCAGTTGGTTCCTTAATCTTGGACTACCCAGTCTCCACAACTTTGAGATATCAATATTTGCTGTGTAAGCCATCCAACCCACGGCATTTTGTTATGGTAATCTACGCAGATTAAGATAGTGGACTTAGTCTCAAATGATCAGTTTTAGCATGGGAAGAGCGGGAAAATCTTCATTGATAGACTCTTCCTAGGCCTCAGTAGCACTGCTAGCTTAGGGGCAAGACTTCCAGGGACAAACCAGCATGCAGCCAGCAGGGGGATTTCAAATCAGGCTTCATTCTTGGTATCTCAGCGATAAGAAGAGGATGCAAAAGAATTTACAGATGCGGAATCCCTCATCTGTTGATGTTGAGCCACATCAGAATGAGAATACAGGAGGTATCTCTTAAGAACCTGGAGATCAGCATTTGATTCTTGATTTTGCACAGTGCCTCCCTTGGAAGAACCTCTTATAAATGTCATCATTTACTCCGTGCCCATACACTACATACTGGGTGCATACTAGAGGGCAGGCACTAGGATTAGGCATTTCGGAATAAAAAGTGAAGGAGTGCCCTTCAAAAGCTCTTGCATAAGTTTACCAAAATGAGGAAAACAGGGAGCAGAGTGTGACACCTTCATTTCCACTCTGCCTGTAGGGAATTGGAGACCCCCAAAAGTTAATTAATTCAAAAGATCCACCCGTAAGTCATACCTTATGGGTGCACCTTACAGTGAATCTTTGGGAGGCCAACAACGTGGTTCTAACGTTATCCACACTAATCCCTTAACATTTGCGAAATGTTTCTAACCCTGCAAAGATGAGAAGATGAGGCTTGCTCAAGAGCTCAAAACACTCAAGTGGTGGAGGCTGGTCTCAAACCCAGTTCTACTGACAACTAATCTCTTGACATAATCACACTTATGGGAGCAAAAGCAGCCCAGCCGTACTCACCATCCGTATCCGTTCATCTTCAAGATTCCTGAGGACAGTGGCAAACTCCTGCAAAGACCTTGCTGGAAAAGAGAAAGTACCATGAAAGGGACATAGAGAAATGGGCCTTTGGGAGCCTTTCCAGGTATAGCTATTATGTTGTGGACTGAAATCCCTCGGCACATGCAGAATCCTAAAGTCAATTGCTTCCCAAGGCTCCCCTTATCTTTTAATCATTAACCATTCAGGATGACCCCCCGAATGCAGGTTAATTTCACCTGGAACTCTAGCTGGGAAAGGATTTCCTTCAAAGACCTGCCTGTTCCTGAGACTACCCAGGGCTGATGAGGTGCTGGCCAGCTTCCAGACTATAGACTGAAAAGGACAGAGTTCTGCGTAGGAGTTGAAGGATTTCCTGCCCAGGATCTGACCTCTTCAACTTTGGTTGTGGGACTGCGTCAGAAATCAACTTTCCTCTGATACCACAACTGAACCAATGTAGCTTGCAATACAAGCCACATCTCTGGCTTCTCCTTGGATTCTTCTTCCTGAGTCCTCAAGCCACTTGTGAATATAATACACTATAAAAATGCAGCACGGTGGTCAGACATGGAGAGTCCTCAACAGAATAATTCCCAAAGGCACAGGGCAGTAAGTGCAATAGCCCTGAAGATATTCAGGACATACATGAAATGTTGGGAGCTCCAGAAGTTACTATAGTAATGCATTTTCATTGCTCTCAGCTATCTCCCAGCTGCCTTCCCTCAACCCCAGATCCTAGCACTCTGTGTGACAAGAGGAATTCAATAAGCATTTGACAACTTTTTCAATCCTTGCTCACCCCTAGAGCTAACCAAGATGCCCAATGTAAGAAGAGTCAAGGGCAATGACTAGACCCTGCCAGAGACAGGTGTCTTGACACTGCAAATCCTCTGTGCTCAGCACTGCCTGCAAGACACAGGAGGTAAAAGAAAAGCAGAAAAGAGAACCAGTACAGCAATCAACAGTAACCCTTCCCTCAGCCTCTGGTTAAAGAAAGGGGGAGGAGAGCTGGACAGCAAGCTCCTCTGTCCATCTGAAGGCAGGGGCAGCTATGGAGCTCCATACCACAAGTGCCAGACCTGAATGTGGGGCCAGCTGATCAGAGTCTCCAATTTTCAAAGAGATGGAAAACCAGAACTTTACACAAAGTCGATTCATATGTTAATTCAATTTTAAGAAATGAGTGCCTAAGAAAACATGGTTGTATTCTGATTTCAGCCCACAAACTATCATTTACAACCTGTAATTCTTTCCTCATCTGCCTGTCTTCTGGTCTTGCTCTAAGTTCTATAGTACCAGAGCAAAGAAAAGTCACAAAAACAGCCAGAAGCAAAACATTACAGGAGGGTGGAGAGAAGAACCCCATTGCAAACCTTCAAGCTGCCTCCTACAGGCCCCAGGGTGAGAGAAGTGGTCTCAGAACTCTGAGAAGCAGCCCAGAATAGCCCCCTGGCCCCTGACCCTCCCTACATTCTGCCCCCTCCACTGTTGGTGTGGACTTCTTAATTTATGACACTTAGATACTTCCTATCACAGGAAAAAGGCTCAGTAAGAACACTGACAGTTATGAAGTACAGTGACTCATCTTATCAGACACATGGTTATGACTTACCTATACACATTTCATCATCTGTTTCTGCATCTCCTATGCACTGAAATTTAAATTCATTTAAGGAATCAGCAAATTTCCTCTTCGCCAAAGACAAATCTAGCAAGAAAAAGAGTAAAAAATATGAATTACTGACGTAAATTGATTTTCACATTTGCTGAATGTTTTAGTCCTTCTACTAATGTAGCAGCTAGATTTGGTCTTGAGGCTATTTCAAACACAACGTAAATTCAAAATACTGAACAGCTGTTTCTAACATGAAATTCTTACTGGCTTGAAAAATTACTATTTCTGTTACTTTGCTTTAACCATTCCAGTCCCAGTTCTAATTCCTCAAGCCACATACTGAGTCCTGTCATATACGTTGGTCACAGGTGGGAATCCAGGAAGAATTGGGGGTCAGAGCAGCCTGCCACCAACCTCCCCTGTGGTCCAGCAGTGGGTAGGGAGCGGGAAGAAAGAGCATGGAAGTGCCCCGTTCCCGTGGCACAGGAGCTCCTGGACTCCTCATTCTGCCTCAAGCACACGTGAGACTGAATTCTCACAACCCTCTCGGCTCCCCCTCATGAGGACGGTGGCCAGCCAGCATGACAAATTCCCATCTGAACCATTTCCCTGGGTCATCGCGTTCCCCACTGCCACAAGAACAAAGCCCTGGCACTGTTCTGAGTTGGGGTAAAAACACACCCCACATATGTTATCTATAAAGAAAGTTCTTAGAAACCCTTGTCAAATCTAAAAAATAAGCTTTCATTTAAGGCAGTATTAAAAGCCAATGATCCCTCCTGAACCCTCAGCTTCTGTTAAGGGTATAAAACCACCCAGGTACCTTTAAGTGGCCTGACAGACACAGCTGCTTGGTACAAATGTGCTTAACTTAATTCCATGTGCAGCCTTCCTGCAGATTAGGCTAATCATTCAAATTACCCTCATAGATGTTTCCCTTATTGAAGGGGAAATGGTATTACGTCCAAATTCCCAGAGGAGGGAAATAGGAGGCATAACTGGCAACATGCACTGGCTTTAATGAGATATAGGGAGGAGGTTGGGAGGATTCTGGCTTCACAGATCGACATAATCTAATGGAACAAAAGTATCCATGGGCTTCAGCTCTTCTCCTTTCTAGTTCCCAGATGTGTTCCTTAGAGTGGGGGGTCATGTTTTTCCCCATCTTTTGGTTTTGTTTGTTTCCTCTCTGTGTACCCGGCAGTGCGTCATGCTCAGTGCATGCTGAATAATGTGTGTGGAGGGCAGTATACAAATTTGACCACTGGTGTGCAGCTCGCCAATCCCAGAGCTTACTCCAAGCAGTAGGGGCCAGTGGAAGAGCCTGGCTAAGCAGTCCTGCTGTTCTCAGGTTTGGGGCTCAGGCTTACCACACAGACACCAGGGGCTCCTGCTCGAAAACCACCCTCCTGTGGGCTTGCATGACATGAATCCCAAGATAGCATGGCTTATGCAAGGCCCTCCGATCTGCACCAAAAGAGGAAGACACTTGAAGTGGAAAAGGAGAATCCAGGAGCCACCAGCCAATACTCTCCGGTCTCTCCCTGGTTCAGTCACTTTAATGCAATGGTGCTAGGCAAAAAGTCCAAAGATCCTGGCAGAGGAGTCAGCCATCTCCTAAAACTGGCCGACCCAAGCTGAAGATATCCCTAAGAATACCAATCATTCCCTGGCAAGTCAAGAAAGAAACAGATTTATCTCAAAGTCAGAACACTGTGAGGAGGAAAGACAGGAGGCCATGGGCAGGCAGGATAAAATAAAGGAAGAATCACCTTTCAGAGTGGAAGACAAAGCCCCCAAGAAGGCCAAAGAGTATCAGGTATAGAATGTGGGCACGGCTGTGCTCGGTCTCACTGGAGTCAGAATGTTCTGATCAGAAATCACAAAGAAAGGCTTGAGCCAAGAGTAAGACTAGAGTTGCTTCTCTATCCACCTAACAATCCTCTGTGCCTCCTCCATAGGCAAGAAAGACTCAAGCTGGACAACCATCTCCACACGGTGGAAGAAAGGTGAAACTTAAGGCTGGCTTGGGAAACCTCCCAACACGCACAGAGAAGCTATGCTGCCAGGAGCAGCTACCAATGAGGATCAAGGAGTGGATAATCCTGCACAACAGGGCCTTTGTGGGGCCTTTTCATAGGAGGACCCATTTCACCTGGAGCAGAGACTGTTAGCTTATGACCAGAAAGTAACCTTATTTCGTTGTTGAGTGACACAGAGCGCACCTCACCACAAAATAAGCCTGAGAAGTCATGTGGGCCCCACAAAGCTAATAAAGAGGCCTCTCCCCCTGACAAAAGAATTAGGTAATGAGTACTAGTCTGGAGTCCATGCTGGGTTATAGGTCAGTGAGCACAGCTAGATAGACTAAAAATCCCAATTATTGATATCTGGAAAGGAAATCACCATGGGCTTGAATGGCTCATGCCTGAGAGAGAAATCTTGGTAAAGGTGTAGGAGGACAACAGGTATTTTGCTCGTTCAGTATCCACTCCCCAGTTTTTGGAACAGCAGCTCAAGCTTGTTTTATTCTATATTTTTAAAAGATTTTATTTACTTAGCAGAGAGCAAGCACAGGCAGGGGAGGAGGCAGGCAGAAGGAGAAGCATGCTCCCCGCTGAGCAAGGAGCCTGATGTGGGACTTGATCCCAGGACCCAGGAATCATGATCTGAGCCAAAAGCAAATGCTTAATTGACTGAGCCACCCAGGCATCCCTCAAGCTTGCTTTGAAGAACCTCCACTTTTATATTTGCCTTGCATGGGTCCTGGTTGTAGGCTGGTCAGCCCCCTCCCTAGCCCCTTGACCTCACCCCAACCTCACCTGGCTCCTGGGTTCAAATTTTAGCTCCACTATTTCCTAGAAGTGTAACTACCCCTAGTTAGGCCTAACTTCTTATTCGCCTCACCTGACATAAGTTGTCAGCCCCACCTAGGTCATCAGATTGTCAGGAAACCCAGGAAGACACACTACACAAGCACTCTGTACACTGTCAGCTTCAGGTCTAGGCAAGGCTGGGCTCTTCTTCCCTAATGTGTGAATCCTGCAATGACGAAGTCAGAGAAGATAAGCAGGACTACCTATGCTGAGAACTCAGCTAAGTAGAGGAGTGATATAAGAGCACACAGCTCAAACATGGGGATCTAGGACTCTATCAGCCTCTGGCAGCCAAGAGCCTTGTAGCATGTGGATACGCCATGCTGCCTCACCCTGTTAAGATAAAACCCTGTTACTTGGGACAATGAAGAAGACATCAAAAAAAACACACGGATTCTTGTCTACTTCAACCCAAATGACCAGTAGAATCTTATGTTGATGATCAACTCTGCCACGCAGCTATAGGAGATTTCTTTCTGGAGCTTTCACTGTGACCCAACAGGAATCTAACATGCACACACCAGTGAGAGGAGTACAGAAAGCAGAGAGGCTGGTACTGGTGCTGAGAGCATGCCAAGCTTCACAACACCCTGCTTGTATAACCCCACGGTGTCATGTTCAGTACAAGATAGAGGAAGGCGCCAAAAGTCAATGATATTTACTATGCAGAAACATCTGTTGCTAGAAAGGCAGAATGCCAGCCAGAGCAGACAGGAGTCGTAAGTCTGGGGAGGCCAAGTATTTGCCTTACAGAATTAAGTCACCTCTGCCTCTGGGTGAGGAGACCAGGCAGCTAAGCGACACAGAAGCAGCTAAAAGTCTAGGCATTGAGGGACCACTCTCAAAGGTGTCTGCTGACTGGGGAACAGAGGGAAGTGCTCTTCTCTTCCTGCGGATGCCCATGCTCTGCCCCCGGATACTCATCGCACAGAGTGCTAAGAGAATTTAACCTAATTACCAATTCTTCTTTCAGTAAAAGAAGGTTGATGCTTTTTAAGTTGGGCTCTACCTTAGGTTACACAAGTTTTACCTCAGTACCACAAGTCAAGCCATTCCCATTTTCTTTTGGGGGGAAATTTAACATCTATGTGCACACACAAACAAACATACCATGCTGAAAGACTCAAGGTAACCTCACTATTACATTTATTTCATGCATCTCTTACCTTTCTTTGATCTCCAAATATATAACTATCCATAAACTTTTTTTACTCCTTGGTCACATCTCCCTGGATTTAGAAACTGATTACAGTTAATGAAGTCCAGCTGCCAAGGTAAGTATTTATGACAAAAATGGCCTGTTGGCTGCTTAAAGCATAAACATTGAAGTCCTCAATCCTAGCTAATCCTTCCCTTCTCTGAAAGTCAATTACACTTACTCTCTGTGCCTGATCACCTTGTATTTGGAATGATTCCAGAACCATGCATGAGTGGTTGGTTCCCTGGTGTAACGTATAGTAAGTGCCTGAGACAGGCCCAGACGAGGCGGCCCTCAAGACATGTTGCACTGATCTGACTGGACAGAGCCACAGATGTTGGCTTACAGGTGGAATATCTGGGATGGCACAATAAGAGGACCCATAGTGAGGGCTGGAACATGGACATGAGTCCCCAAGACTGCAGCTTGGCTGCAACTCCCATTCTCAGGTAAACTTACCACTCTCTAAATCAAACTCTCTCTCCTCTCCTATCTTCTCAAAAAACAGCCAACCAAGGACCTCTTCCTGCATCCCCAGTTTGGCAAAGGGGGCCACCGTCTGTCCTGTCACACAAGTCAAAGTCACACACCCTCATATCATCACCCTTGGTAGCATGGTATCCTTCCCAAGTGTGTCTGTCTTGCCTCCTAAGCATCTCAGTTCTATTCACACATCCCTATCACTATCAGCAACCCCTAAATCAAATGCCCCCATTTGCCTGGGTAACTGCAACTGCCTCTGCTCTGGTCCCCCAAACCCACTTTTGTTCTTTCAATCAGTTCTCCCCTCAGTCATGTCAGCTCCAATAGTGAATCCTGCAAAGGGCTCCCAGAGTTCTAAAAACCAAGATTAAAGTCCCTCCCAAAGTCTGAGAGGCCCTGCAGGGCCTAGGCCCCCAACTCCCTTTCTGGAGCCAGTTCCTTGAACATCCTGCTCATCCTGCAGTCCTTAGAAGTTCAGTCCACTAAAAAGCCTACTCTGACTTCTGTAACCAGGCCAACCCCTCCCCTCCCCTCAC